ATGCTGATGACTCCCAATGATACACAGTAACTAACAATGATGCTGATGACTCCCATTGATACACAGTAACTGACAATGACACACTGTAACCCATCATGACACACTGTGACACACTATGATGCACTGTGACACACAATGATGCTGATGACTCCCATTGATACACAGTAACTGACAATGACACACTGTAACCCATTATGACACACTGTGACACACAATGATGCTGATGACTCCCATTGATATACAGTAACTGACAATGACACACTGTAACCCATCACGACGCACAGTGACACACAATGATGCTGATGACTCCCATTGATACAGAGTAACTGACAATGACACACTGTAACCCATCATGATGCACTGTGACACACAATCATACGCACCCAAATGTTTTTTTTATATACATGTATATACACCTTAAGATTTATCTTTTTTCTATGCACAATATTTATCTTATCTTATGCATACCACAACATCAAACTTGTTTGTGCATTAATATATTCTATCATTTGAGTACACATTGCATAGTTAATTCAGAATTTCTTTCCAAAGATTTCAACATATTACTATTAGCATAAAGACATTATTGTTGGAAAATGAGGTTGTATATTCAAATGTTATCAGTCAGGAGCTGTTCCTATTTATAAATAAATATATATTTATACTGTTTGCATGTGAAGAGAGTGGAAGAGCGATAACATAAACTGACGGGCAAAAGTTAGTATAACGTTTTCAATTTGGTTTGGGGAAATTGAGCATGTCTAAATTCCAATGAAACATCCAAAGCAAACATTGTCAAAGTCACAAGAATATTGCAGAATGGTAGTGATGTCAGTAGATGTAGTCACGCTGACCCCCAGCACGAAAAAGGTATAACATGTAATCTTTGAAAATCACTTAACATGCACGCACCAGTCGGGTAGAAATGGATGGATACACGCTGGCATATCACAGTAACTGAAAGCACATGCAAAATGCCAAGCGAAGACACAAATTCAGCGAGAGCGAGCCATTGAATGCGCCGATATGGGAGCTACCCAAGCTCATCTTGCCAGAACGCTCGGCTGTACCCCAGCAACAATCTCCAGGCTGTTCACACGCTACCGAATACTGGTAGCACTCAAGACAGGCCGAGAAGTGGATCGCCACCGGTCACTACACCCATAGAAGACCGCTACATCCGACTATCCATCTCCGAACAGGTTTCGTGACGGCAACGCCGACGGCTGCCACGCACTCGGGCATCGTGATCAGTCGCCGCAGTGTGACCAAGATTGAGATAAGCTGGTATAAGGGCTTACCGCCTTTCCGCTGAATGGTCCTGACCCTCAGACATCGCCAAAACAGACAGCGGTGGGCAAGGCAAGTATACAGATGGCAAGTCCGAGATTGGCTTAACGTGTTCTCTTTTCCGATGAAAGCCGTTTCACCCTTTACAAGTGTGATGGCAAAGAACGGGTATATGGTCGACGAGGGGAACGTTTAGCAAGGCCATGCATCAGAGAAGTTCATCCATTCGGGCGGGGTGGAGTCATGGTTTGGGGCTGCATCTGTGGAGACCAGAAGACCCGTCTGGTTGTAGTGCAGGGCAATCTCAATGCACGGAGGTACATCGGACAGATCCTACAGCCAGTTGTGGTACCCTTCCTACAGAATCAACCCCGGGGTGTACTCCTACAACATGACAACGCGAGACCTCACACTGCCAGAGAGACTCGCTACTTTCTGCAACAGAACAATGTTGACGTCCTGACCTGGCCAGCGTGCTCACCAGATATGAACCCGATCGAGCACCTCTGGGATCATCTGGACAGGAAGATCAGAGGTCGGCAACAAGTTCCACAGAACAGGCAACAGCTAGAGCAAGCACTCAGAGAGGAATGGAACCGCATTCCCAAGGACGCCATTCGACGCTTGGCGACGCCAATGAGGAGACGTGTGAGGGTATGCATTGACGCAGCAGGGGGTCACACACGATACTGATGTGCACAAGATCCTGTATTCAAGGAATGCCCCTGCTACTGACTCATAAACTCAGATTGTGATAATCGATTTATGCAAAATTCCACCCCTTGCGTGTTTACTTGACAGCGGCTCACAAACTCCTTGAATGAAATTGTTGATTTTTTGTGATTTACAGCTCAAGTGTTTTTTTATTATGATGCATTAAATATTTTTGGGAAATTTCGGTGTATGTCTTTGTTACAGGACGTTCAAAACGTCATATACTAACTTTTGCCCGTCAGTTTAGATCATGTACATCAGTTTTTCATACCTACAGATTCAGGGCTTTGTCTGATAAATGTTACGACTGATCTTAAAGTCAAACAAGGTTTGTTCCTTAGAGGTCTGCTGCCTATCTCCTGCCAAGGTGTTGATGTAATAAACACCAGTGTGAAACTGAGACACTGTCTCTGTAATTCTGGTAATCACTAGACTGGTATACATTATAAAATGTGACCTAGTTGACACTAGTATTGGTGTTTGAAAGACTTCAATCAAATTTGCAGCAGTGAAGTCCTCCTGTAATCTAACTATCCATTTTTCTTCACCATTCATGATGAGAGTATTTGTTTCATGAGCCTGGAATTCTTCCTCTAACATGACAAGTGATGATTAAGTGGTCAAATGTAACATATGTTATATTTAGAATTACACTTTCTTAGAAAAGTACAAATTCTAGTACTTTTTGGGTTGAGTCCCATCCAGGATTCAAACCCACACCCTCAGAGTCCGGCACCTAATCATCAGCACACAAAGTCAGCCGCCTAAACCGCTTAGGCACTGTGACCACAAGTGATGCTATCTACTTGCTGCTACTACTACTACTACTACTACTACTACTACTACTACTACTACTACTACTACTACTACATTGATACAGAGTAACTGACAATGACACACTGTAACCCATCATGACGCACTGTGACACACAATGATGCACTGTGACACACAATGATGCTGATGACTCCCAATGATACACAGTAACTGACAATGATGCTGATGAATTCCCAATGATACACATTAACTGACAATGACACACTGTAACCCATCATGACACACTGTGACACACAATGATGCTGATGACTCCCATTGATACAGAGTAACTGACAATGATGCTGATGACTCCCAATGATACACAGTAACTGACAATGACACACTGTAACCCATCATGATGCACTGTGACATACAATGATGCTGATGACTCCCATTGATACACAGTAACTGACAATGACACACTGTAACCCATCATGATGCACTGTGACATACAATGATGCTGATGACTCCCATTGATACACAGTAACTGACAATGACACACTGTAACCCATCATGATGCACTGTGACACACAATGATGCTGATGACTCCCATTGATACACAGTAACTGACAATGACACACTGTAACCCATCATGACACACTGTGACACACAATGATGCTGATGACTCCCATTGATACAGAGTAACTGACAATGATGCTGATGACTCCCAATGATACACAGTAACTGACAATGATGCTGATGACTCCCAATGATACACAGTAACTGACAATGATGCTGATGACTCCCAATGATACACAGTAACTGACAATGATGCTGATGACTCCCAATGATACACAGTAACTGACAATGATGCTGATGACTCCCAATGATACACAGTAACTAACAATGATGCTGATGACTCCCATTGATACACAGTAACTGACAATGACACACTGTAACCCATCATGACACACTGTGACACACTATGATGCACTGTGACACACAATGATGCTGATGACTCCCATTGATACACAGTAACTGACAATGACACACTGTAACCCATTATGACACACTGTGACACACAATGATGCTGATGACTCCCATTGATACAGAGTAACTGACAATGATGCTGATGACTCCCAATGATACACAGTAACTGACAATGATGCTGATGACTCCCAATGATACACAGTAACTGACAATGATGCTGATGACTCCCAATGATACACAGTAACTGACAATGATGCTGATGACTCCCAATGATACACAGTAACTGACAATGATGCTGATGACTCCCAATGATACACAGTAACTGACAATGATGCTGATGACTCCCAATGATACACAGTAACTAACAATGATGCTGATGACTCCCATTGATACACAGTAACTGACAATGACACACTGTAACCCATCATGACACACTGTGACACACTATGATGCACTGTGACACACAATGATGCTGATGACTCCCATTGATACACAGTAACTGACAATGACACACTGTAACCCATTATGACACACTGTGACACACAATGATGCTGATGACTCCCATTGATATACAGTAACTGACAATGACACACTGTAACCCATCACGACGCACAGTGACACACAATGATGCTGATGACTCCCATTGATACAGAGTAACTGACAATGACACACTGTAACCCATCATGATGCACTGTGACACACAATGGTGCACTGTGACACACAATGATGCTGATGACTCCCATTGATACACAGTAACTGACAATGACACACTGTAACCCATCATGATGCACTGTGACACACGATGGTGCACTGTGACACACAATGATGCTGATGACTCCCATTGATACACAGTAACTGACAATGACACACTGTAACCCATCATGATGCACTGTGACACACAATGATGCTGATGACTCCCATTGATACACAGTAACTGACAATGACACACTGTAACCCATCATGACCCACTGTAACCCATGACACACTGTGACATACAATGATGCTGATGACTCCCATTGATACACAGTAACTGACAATGACACACTGTAACCCATCACGACGCACTGTGACACACAATGATGCACTGTGACACAATGATGCTGATGACTCCCATTGATACACAGTAACTGACAATGACACACTGTAACCCATCACGACGCACTGTGACACACAATGATGCACTGTGACACACAATGACATACACAGACACCCACTCACACTGATGATACACAGCAACATGTAGTGACACCCACCTGTTATGCTTCTTCCTTCTTCATTAGTTTACACTCCTCTGCGTTAGCTTTGTTCAGGAAGAAGGACTCTCCTGATATGGACTTTGTCTTGCTGAGGCGGATGTTATACTTCTTCAAACCCTTGATATGTTCGTACTTGCTCACTGTTTCCCTGGTAACAAATGGGGCAGACATGAATACACAGACACTCATTATGAATGATGTGATATGTAATTACCATTTTTCACATTTGTTATACCTAAAATGCCTACCACAAAAGTTGTCATGTGTGGTACAGTGATGAAGGTGCCATTAGGATGACCAGGACCTCTGGGTTTGCATTTCAAAAGTCTAATTTACACTTTATATTTATCCTAGGTTTGTCAGAACCCTACCTGTTATTCTGGGTTCAACAAAGCAATAAATGTCTAAGGTGTGAATCACTTCACAGGGTTCGAAATACCCCATATATTAGTGTGCCATGGCACGGTAAATACTGAAATGACATGGTAAAAAATGTTCTCGGTGTCCTTATGGCATGCATATTTTTTTGGAAACATAACTCACCTTTAATCATTTAATCCCCCAAACAATAATAATTTTTCCAAATTGAATAATGCCATACATATCTAAATGCTCATAAACCCATTTCTTTATTTAACAATAAATTCAAAATGATCATCATCATTGTCTTTTATTCAAAAAACAAGTGGGCACACTTGATTTCTGAAAGTCACCCTTAAAATATTTGTCTGGTGCCCTAAGGCACACTTACAAAAAAAAAATAATTTCTATCCCTGCTTCAGGTGACACTAAAATTGACATGCTGAGATACTGATGATGACCTGTTAAAGGCAACAATAAACTCGCTTACTCACTCATTATCAGCAAAATGAACATATCTATCACCTGTTAACAACTTTAGTCAAAATCATTACCATGAATAACTGAATTATGTTGTCACAGAAACCAATGAAAACTCACCTGAATTTAAATTCTGGTCTTTTCATCTGAAGACACAGCGTAAGTGGCATCTCATAAAAGTCTGCGTCAGACAGGAAGTCAATGGCCGACTGCCCCTCTCCACTATAGGTAATTCCTGCTCCCAGCTCTGAGGACTCTAGTCTCATGTTCCCCTCAACATACAGGGCTCCACTACATAACAGAAACAACATGATGTGTTGTAGGGCATCATAATATTGAAGTTAAAGCTTCAGGGGTTTGCGAAGTGGGAGATAGTGGGGAGCTTGTCATTGGGATCTAACTTATATTTTCAAAAGGCAGTGTTTTTTGTCATGCCCCCTTAATCCCTCCACATATCATGCTGTTATTGAATTCACCCTACTATACTTCATTCCTTATACACAGTCAAGAGGCCAGTCAACGGTGTTTTGTCTGTGTCATGAGATCACCTGCTTCATAATGGTGGTAGCTTTTACACTGCAACATTGCATCTAGTGCAAAACAAAGTTGTCCATCCATAAAAATTGTTCCTTTTCTATGTCATAACATGTGGCATCAAATTGGTTTTTTTAAATATTTGAAGTGGTCAGATCAGATCATCAATCTGTCTGCATTTCAATATTCTAAGGCATATGTCTTGTCATAAAAACTATGTGTTATTTTCTAACTATACGCATATTCATATACAATACGTCCCAAATGGAAAATTTCAGATGCAAAGGTAACTCAAATTCCCAAATATGTACCTTTATTAAAATAGTGAATATTGTGTCCCTGATTACCAGCCCTAATTGTCCTACCAGTTAGTTGTGGTAAAGTGAGTGAGTGAGTGAGTATGGTTTTACGCCGCTTTTTAGCAATATTCCAGCAATATCACGGCGGGGGACACCAGAAATGGGCTTCACACATTGTACCCATATGGGGAATCGAACCCGGGTCTTCGGCATGACGAGCGAACGCTTTAACCACTAGGCTACCCCACCGCCCCTAGTTGTGGTAAAGAGTAAGACTGTAAGAAAATCAAATGTACCATGTGACCTAAGCTAAACAACTGTTCTAGAGGTTGTTCTAGAGCCAACAAGGAACTCATAGTCCAACCCAACCTTTTTAATGAGTGAATTACAGTTCCTGTTCCACAGACTGATGCTGACATAGCCAGCCAGGTCGATGGAGATGACGCCGATGACTTCCACATTGAGGATGAGGCCATTGGACAGATGAACCCTTTGGGAGTGGTCCTGCAGCAACAGGTTGCCCTGGCAGAACAACAACACTCTTCAATACTGTGATCTGGGTGCCGTTGTACAAAACAACCTTAGCGCTAAGGCTACCTTAAGTCAGTGTTAAAGTATGGGAGTTAGGGTCACAGGGGCTTGTAATGCTAATAAGATCCCGTCAGTGATAGTATATGCCTTGATGGCAGTTTTTAGCGTTACAAGCCCCTGTGATTAGGGTTACCTTAGAGCTAAGACTGCTTTGTACAACGGCACCCTGGCTCAAGCCACAATCTTAACATACAAATTGGCTTTTTTTCTTAGCATTTTCATCATACTATGGCAAAGCATATGTCACTAGAATAATGCCTATCATTACTTTTTGAGAAAGAAAACTTTATTTTGGCAGTTTCGAGACATGAAACTCATCATCTACAACTTGTGTAATTAAAACATTTAAATTTACAGTTGTAGTGTCACAATTGGTTTATGAAACAGGCTCCTGTTTAATATTCCGGATGCCACAGACTTTGGTTTCAGTACCTGTTCCTGATAACATTGCTGTAAGACAACACAATAAGTGGTGATAATCAAGTGTTTTATATACTATCATATTATACATTATGCCATACAGTAGAAAAATTAACTTCTCTGGGAATAAGTATTGTTTTTCATAAAGATATTATCTTAACAACCTCCAAGAATATATTAAACATTCCAGATGTTAGTAAATAAACACTGTCATCTGGGTAGTGTTCCTGTCATGATGTCTATCTGACAAAATCTCCAACACAGTCTGCTTACCTGGAGTGCTGAGGCGAGTTCTGACGGGGCATTCCAAACCGCTGACATCAGCCCAGACATTCCCCGGAAGAACTCGTACTGCTTGAGAAGAACATCCATTAGGTAGAATGACAATCCGGCAGCAATCTCGGGGCCTGCTGCATCCCCTTCTCCCTCGCCCTCAGCAGGAACCTTCCTCCTCACCCATCAGCGACTCCAACGCCTCACCGTATATCCCGATCTGAATAAAATGAACATATATATCCTAATCTGAAAGAACGGCACCATTATATGCCAATCTGAAAGAACGGCACCAGTATATGCCAATCTGAAAGAACAGCACCAGTATATGCCAATCTGAAAGAACAGCACCAGTATATGCCAATCTGAAAGAACGGCACCAGTATATGCCAATCTGAAAGAACGGCACCAGTATATGCCAATCTGAAAAAAAGGCACCAGTATATGCCAATCTGAAAGAACGGTACCAGTATATGCCAGTCTAAAGGAACGACACCAGTATATGCCAATCTGAAGGAATGGCACCAGTATATGCCAATCTGAAAGAATGGCGGTACCAGTATATGCCAATCTGAAGGAACGGCACTTGTATATCTCGATCTGAAATAACAGCACACGCATATCCTGTTCTGAAATAACAGTGTGCATACACTGAGTGAGTGAGTGAGTTTAGTTTTATGCTGCACTCAGCAATATTCCAGCTATATGGCAGCGGTCTGTAAATAATCGAGTCTGGACCATACAATCCAGTGATCAACAGCATGAGCATTGATCTGCGCAATTTGGAACCGATGACATGTGTCAACCAAGCCAGCGAGCCTGACCACCCGATCCCGTTATACATTGACTTACTGATTTAAAACGGCAGCATTTTCTACATGTTGCAAGAATCTGTACAGTGAATTGGAGTTTACTCGTCTTTCAGCATCTCAGTGTAATGTGGGAGGAAGAAAAACAAAACTCTAGAGAAAGTGAATTAATTGAACTGAAAAGTGCATATACGGTTTGAAATATATCAACCCTGAACCGACTTCCTGTAGCATCAGCACTATTTCCACTATCTGATGTAATCCCATCATGTATCTGCTACTGTGAATCCTACTTGATGCACAACTTACATTCATGAACAACAAATAATAAAAAAATAAAACAAAAACCTACAAAACTTACATTCATGAAAGGCTGTTTCGTATTTCCAAACAGATTGACTTTCATCCCACTGCGCTTCATAACACCAGAGTTGGAATTTTCAAACAACAGGTTGTATGTACAGTTGAGGTCTTCAGTTTCTGCAGCCACAAACATATCATGGTCATTTAGACATTACAACAATGTGTAACAATGTATGGAACAATCAGTTTGGAACAGAAATTCCCATGAGTAGGAAAATCACATCTGCATTTGTGATATCCAGGGAGGTGTTCATGTATTAAAGTACCAAGGAGATGAATTACAGCAGGCTTTGTTTATGTACTGCTCTATGAGCACAATATATTTTCTTTCTTTCAAAGATGTGGACTAATATTATTCAACACTCAAAACAATATCAACTAAAATGTTGAAAACTATTTACATTTTACTTCAAATTCAGAATTAAAATATAGCCTGTGATACTGTGGAGTGCCAGTTTTTAATTTAACATGTTAGTGGTGCTGTGGTCTTTTGGCAATCAATAATCTGACTGGTATATCAGTGAAAACATTTTGGTAGCCTTTTTTGTCAGTAGTGTCGATAATATATTTTCTCATTATACGATAGGGGTTATTAGGACCCCATGAACCTCCAGCTGTATTGGACAATGTAGTGTGAGTGAACCTACTTGCAAGGTAGCCGGTGAAGGAGCTGGACTTCCCCCCCTGGGCCATCAGTTGGTAGTTGTTGATTCTGCTCTGCTTAAATATTGTCTGTAATTTACTCCTGCATATGAATAAATGAGTGATTGTTAATGATGAATACTATACAGCTACAACACAGAGTTTTCTATCCTACTGGTTGAAATTATGATTACATGGGACTCAAGGTCTCCTGGACTATTTATGGTACATAAACATGATGAATACATGAAATATTTTCAAAAAGTTATGAAAATGCAAATAGATACCATCCTGAATATATATAACAAACCAATATTTTTAAAAGCAACTATATTCCATATTCTGTTTACAAGGTAAGTTTGCTTATCTCATAGAAAGGTCTTCAGGAAATAACTTTTGTATTTTATAATTTTGATAAACATTATGTGGTTTCTATGTATTAGTGCCACGTAAAAATAAGATACTTTCATCTACAACAAAGATACTTACATCTATGAAACAGATACGTTCATGTATGTAGAAGAAGAAGGAGATACTTTACTGTATGTAAAATATATTTAATTTACGTAGAAAATACTTTCATCTAGGAGACCATATCATCTAGTATGGAATTATTGACATGGTAACCATATTTTCTCGAGTTATCAACAATAGTTCCGAGTCTGTTTTATGTAATTTCTGTCTTAAGTAATAATGTGATATGTCTGACTTTCAGCCTTGATGTGTCTTTTCAGAGCTTTCAGTAATGTCATTCTAACTTAATATGGAGTTTTGTTAATTTAATTGTTTATAATTTTTGTATTTCACAACTGATACTTTGAAATTATTTCAGCAAGAAAAATACACAAAAAGTCTAAATGAAATATAAAAGACCAACATTCTGCCAAACATTTAATTCAGTCATATATACATATTTGTTTAAACTATATCCAGTTAGGGTCTCAACTTCACATTGTCACATCAGTAACAATTTTGATGTTACGTATGGAGATGATCATATCTTCTACGTAGATGAAAGCATTATCAATGAAGATGAAAGTACCTTCTATGCAGATGTAAGAACAATATATGTAGATAAAAAACTTTACACTGTGGCACTAATACGGTTCCTCACTTTTCAGCAAAAAACCAATTATCCAGGCATTGAATACTTGAAGAAAAACTCCAATCTCCTAATAACAAGACTACAATGACTAGTTACACATATTTCATCATGCGATTGTGTGAATCCAGACCTGAGATTCTCATCATTCTGTGCTGTGTCGAGGATTTTCATCTTGATGAAGGTGGAGAGCTCATGGTGTTCCCTGTCAGCCATGGCAAGGATGATGTTACGCAGCTCCATCAGAGTCAGGTCCTGCTGCAGCAGGAGGTCCAGCGCCACCACCCGCACACTGCTGTCATAGCGACGCACGCTCTGGTGGAACATGAGGGACAGGGAGGCCCTCACCTGCACAGAGAGTGAGTGGAGTAAAGTCTGAAGTGAAAATGCTCTTCAACATCTTTAGCTTGGCTGGAAGGAATACAGGTTCACAGATGACAGAACAATAAAGACCAATCTAAGATTTTAAATGTTGACAAGCAGATCCTGCCATAGCAAAGGTAAGCAACTCTGCACAACAGATTGCAGTACATTTTACCACTAATCCAAATACAGTGCATAATATAATGCCACCCAGGATATAATGCCATGTTTTGCCAGAACGGTTTACCTGCCTATATAATACCTTGGTTATAATGCCAAACTCGATATAATGCCATTTGCCAATGGTTTTTGGAACAAAAGTCATTTTCCCCTAATTGTATGTGTTAGATGGATAATGCCAAACTGAATATAATGCCATTTGCCAATGGTTTTTGGAACAAAAGTCATTTTCCCCTAATTGTATGTGTTAGATGGATAATGCCAAACTGAATATAATGCCATTTGCCAATGGTTTTTGGAACAAAAGTCATTTTCCCCTAATTGTATGTGTTAGATGGATAATGCCAAACTGAATATAATGCCATTTGCCAATGGTTTTTGGAACAAAAAGTCATTTTCCCTTCATTGTATGTGTTAGATGGAGACATATCAGCAGATCCCACCAACAAAGGGAAGTAATTGATGCCACACACCGATTGCTTTCTGTTGAGTTAAAAGTAATGTTCTTGTATATTCCTTTCACACAATAAATGAGAACATTTGTATCTGTAAGTCTGAAGCAGATACCTCTGCAGTGATGAACTTGCTGGGAACTCGTCGTAGTGCCTCTATTGCTGTGATAGACACCATGCTGTTGTTGCTGTCTACAGCCAGCTTCATGATGATAGGAACTGTGTCAGGTAGACCAGTGTTGCCTAGTGCACGCAGGTACATCAGGCGACAAGCATCGTCCGTACATTGTGCAACTCCCTCCACCAACAGAGTGCGGAAGTCTTGTACAACCTGTGAGGAATCGATGAGTTATGAGTTTTCAGACACACCTAGTCTGTAAGTCTGACAACAAAATGGAACTTACAGTAGTTACAAAAAATACACAAAACTGACAGGGTGAGGTGAGGTGAGGTGAGGTGAAATTGGGTTTAACGTCGTGCTTGAGAATATTTCGCTCATATGACGACGTGCATGCGTGTGTATGTGTATGTGCGGCTGCTTGTACTAGCCCAGACTTAAGCTTGTTTTATAGTGCTAGCCCACTGAGATACCATGCCGCAGTGAAGCAGGAATACCCCACTCAGACACATTATACTGACTCCGAGCCAACCAGTCCTTGTTGTACCCATTAATGCCGAGAGCCAGGCAGGGACCAACAAGTACCATATTTTAACGTCTTTTGGTATGACGTGGTCGGGGATCGAACCCACGACCTTCCGCTCTCCGGGGGGACTCTCTAACCACTACACCATGGAGGCAGTCCAAAACTGACAGGGAAAGATACAACCACCAGTTTGTTTTGTCCTTTACTGCTAAGTCTAAAAGGTGGTAAAATGTAGTAAAATCTAGTTATTTTAAATATACATCTAGTTTGAAGGATCTGTGCACTAGTAGGACTTGATGAAAAGTGTTAAACCTTGAACAAAGCATGCTTCAACGTCTCCCATTGAACCTTAAAATTATGTTTACAGTGGTTATAATGAACTCAAAGGGAACATTATTATAGCTTGTTATAACCTTAGTTCATCACACACATTTAACTAAAATATACTGCATGTTTCTGGAACTGAAAAAATCAGTTTATTTCTTTAGTCAGTTAGTTATAAGAATGTTCCTTTTTAATGTACTTTACTGTATGTTAATATCTAACAAAATGTTCAAATCACAAAATTATAACTGTTAGTTAATTTTTTAGACGGATTTATATAAGAGTATAAGAAATTGCAGGAGCTAGTGGAATCATTAAACACAAAACAATTCAACGAGAAAATCAATGCAAAATCAATACCAAAAAGACAAAATTCAAAACAAACCAGACTACTCACCTGTTTAATCATGTACCTGCAATTTATGATTTAGAAATAATGGGCAAAAAGAAATTATTACTCTATACTGGTCCTACTGATTTTGTGAAACTTGTGTAAGAATTCGCGTATTGCCCTCACTCTCAGGAAATACAAGGATTCTTATAGTCAGTATGATACACAGGGCTTGTATAACAATCTCTGCATCTTGCATGCTGGTACCTGGTGAGTGCACTGGTCCTTGACCTGACAGTAGGTGTGGATGACAGCGCCAGTAGCTAGGAGCAAGGACTCCTTCAAACTCTCATTGGGCACCGGCTTCTTGAGTATTTTCTGAAATGTCCAGATAATGGCTTGATTTCATGTTCAGTTACATAATAAAACAACCGAAACAAATTATTACTGACTATCTTTACGTTCAGATCCAAAGAGAGGTGTGTGTTCCTTAAATATCAGGGTATCATATGTTTGTGTTCACTCTGAAATTTAGATGTTGAGTACACTTTGTTTAAAAATCATGGATCTCTCTTAATTCATCACACATTACAAAGATTATTGCAAAAATGACATAGCAAGTAATATGATAAAGAGGTTATCACCTTCTTATGTTACCATAATGTAAACATCATATATAGTTGGGACCAAAAAATAAAATATTCATTAACGGTTTACATGATACAATTTATATTCCTTATATGTATTTATGATAAGGAAATACTTTCAGCTAAAACTCTATATGTGTTTACACCAATCAAAACAGAGGTTATACTGAGTTCAAGTGACATTATGATGAACCCTGACAGAATCAAATATCCGACATAAGACTAAATCAAATGATTGCTTCTGTTCTTCAAATGATTCTGTAGCTCCTTAAAACTTCATGAAAATACATAGGACAGCCCCACCCCTCACCCGAGACACACTCACCAGCAGGTCCTTGATGAGGTACTCCCCTGGGTGAGTGGAGTAGGTGGCTGCCAGCAGGTACCGCTCTGGGTGTTCAGTGCCGTAGTCCTCCTCAAACACCAGCAGCTCCATCATGGCTTTCTGGGCAGCCGATGTCTGGGATGCAGTGGCTATGTCAATCAGCTGGGGGCTAGATGGACAGTGATTTCAATAAATACTGGATTTACAGGAATTTACAGGAAGTTAAAACACTGAACCTGATACCAATTTACTTTCAAACCCCACACTGCATTACTTATACACCCATCTATATATATAAATGGGTTCAAATTGTCAGGCAAAAATAATATACACCCATGCTAAATATGAAACAAGCAAGACATGGTTATTCAATGGGGATGTATTCAATACAGGTATCATAGATGTGCTATGGACCTTAGTTTCGCAGTGGTTTGAGTCCAGTAACATGTTGATAACACCTACAATTGTTTGGTCAATTCCAATTTTCAGGTGTATACTTTGTTTGGCCCAGCAGTTATACAGAGACAGGGTTGTTTAATAGTGTCAAGGACCTTCAGTTTCATTATTTCGATCTGAATATCAATTCAAGGTAGTACATTTGTTTTGCTAAAGCGCCATAAAGTGTGTTCAAAATGTGTTCAAAGTGCAAGCTTTCACTAAACTGCTTCACCAGAGTTCTAATTGACTTGAGTTTGATTTGAGTCTCTCCACATAAATGCGACACAGTGCATGTGCACCCAGGAACCAGCAACACCATGCCTTAAAGGTGGAATGAGCACATTTTATACTAAAAACCCTAAAAAATGCAATTTGGATCTTCAACAATAAATATTGTGATCTATTGTCTTTCGTTCAAGAAGTCCAACCCTGCACATGCAAGCACACTGCTATGAAACAACTTCTTATGAAATAAAATTATTTTTGTTCAACTTCTTTGAGCTGAAGGGTCATGGCCAAAAGGGGAACACCAGAAATGGGCTTCACACATTGGGGAATTGAACCCAAGTGTTGGTGTGACGAGCAAATGCTTTAACCACTAAGTAGTAGTTACGCTATCTATAAACGTTTCATTGTCTATATGGACAGGCCTCGAGTGATTGGATAGCGTAACTAGTTTGTATTCAAAATCTGCGCAGGATGTTTGAATTTGAAATTATTCTGTGTCACACCGCCGCGACGTCAAGTCACGAGTGGTATAGACCTTACATGGTCACAAATAATTGACGAAGTTGACAATAATAGACTGGAATGGTATGATACAATCGAGGACACATTTTTTTCGTAAGCTGCTGAGGTTATTGAAACTCAATCGGCCATGTTAGATAGGTTGACTCAATTGTCAGTATCGTACACAGAGGAAGGTGCAACGTTGCCTGAACTTTAAAAGTATAACATATGTTATATAATATTTGGGATTACACTTTCTTAATAAGAACAGATTCTAGTACTTTTGGGGTTGAGTCCAATCCGGGATTCGAACGCACACCCTCAGAGCCAGGCACCTAATCGCCAGCACACAAAGTCAGACGCCTAGGCCCCTCAACCACTGCAGCTTCCACGGCTTTTAAAACTATAAACTTTACTCAGGTCATGAAAAATTATGATGTAGACACGAGCTCTCGTTTTAGAATGAAGTAACTACAAGGTTTACATTCGATTGAGACTGTTTTATGTGCGTGTGAAAGTTCTGCTAACCTGTAGTGAGCCAATCAGATAGCCGCATTCAAAGGTTACTTCAAGCCGTGGTGTAACTATTAGATAGAACACGGGTAAGATCAAAGGGACCGCTGCCAGGGCATGGTACAAGCTACCCCCGTTTGTAAAATGAACTAAATATCTATATCAATGGTGTTAGGTGACAAAGTACTCACACGGTGTAATACGAGTCTGGACTGGTCAATACTTCAGCTATCGTTTGCTTCCCAGCATTCCGGAAACTCTTCAACATCTTCATAAATGCTTTAGCCGATGCAACGGTTGACACTTTGTCTGCCACTAGATCTTCGTGCACCTTGCTTAATATCTTTGTTGGCTGAAGTACAGGGTAACATGATATAGCTTTTAACAAATGGTTTTCATAGTCTTCATTTTCTATGCACATTGCAGAGCACTATATGCACAGATTTTCCGTGAGTGAATGAGTTGGATGGAGCTTATGCTGCTGTTAGCAATACTAACCAAGCTTTGAGCATGCATTGTGCATGGAAATATGCGCTTTATAAATGAACTATTATTATTATTATTATTAAATGGAAATGGAATGAATCTACAAATCACTAGATTACACAACAGAATTTTGATTGACAATTTTTATTTCCTGTTTCCCTTGTTACAATAAAAGTATTTACACAGAAAGAGGAATTCTTTAGTATCTTTTTACATGAACATAGAACTACAGACTGATTTGTTAAAAAGTAACTTTGTATGTTTAATGAAGAATTTGTCTTTAAAGAATAACACATGTTGTGTTTCATTTAAATACTTACAGATTCACAGTTTTCTATACATTGAGTGATTTCAGATTCTGTTGGCAGCAAAGACAACATAAAGCTTTTTCCTATTTCTGAAAGAAATTTGAAACAATTATGAGCAACATGAACAGCAATTCGGTTTGAATGGTAACTGTAATACATTAATATGCTTTACCTATTCTGAAACAAACTTATAAAAATCTAAGTAAATCGTTCTAAACTAGAAGGGAATTGCTACGCTTTCTACTGTGATAGGTAGATTTATTAACTACATGCCAAACTGATTATTTATTTCTGTTGCACATAAGAAAATTACCTATTGTTTTAAATTAAAACATATGGTAGTATTTTACTTTTATAAAGTTTTATTCACACATGTCTAAAATGTTCACCATACTCTTCATTAAGAACCAAACATTTCAGATTTGTGCATCAATGCTCAAACATGCTTGTGTGTGTGCATGGATCTTTGTTGATATATTTTTGTCAGCATATCAAAACATACAGTTCTTATTCTCATAAAGAAGACAATTATTTGTTTTGGGACCTACAACATATATTTTGCTGAAAGTCAAGCATGTCTGATTTACAGTAATACCTGACAATAACTTTGTTTTCTGTCGCTTTCCTGGTGATATTTTTACACATCCCACTATATCAAATGGTCGGCTACATTGTTTTTGAAAACACATCAGAACCATGCTCATTTACACACTTCAGTGTTGCTAATGTGACCTGCTGACTTGGACTCCCTTGGGACTGTAGTTTGAGTCTTCCACAAATAAGGCTTAAGTAAAAATGACACTGCAACTTTTGTTTTCAATGACTCCTCTGTACATGCCAGCAGTCTTGGGGCAATCGTTACCTTTTTCCAACATGGGTATGGCTGTATCAATGTCAGCAGCAGACACAGCTTCACTGGATGGTGATGCACCTTGGAATGTTAATTTTTGGCTGAAAAGGTATAGACGAATCTTATAACTTCAACAAAATTTTACAATGTGCATCAATAGTAAAGGATTGGGTGGAGATTTAACAGGAGGTTCTTGGGCCCACTGAACATAGTTAGCAGGCAGGAGAAAAAACATGCAAACAAAACATATTTTATCTTGTTGATAATTGTGATTTTGAAATTTATTTTTAATATTTGCTTGATATATGTAGAAGGCCAGGATGTTTATGAAATCTGGAGGATAAAACACTCAAATTAAAGTTCATAATAAAAGTTCAAAGTATTTTTCAGATTTATCTTATTGACAATCTTGACATTTAGCTTTCTGAGCACAAAATAATTATTTATTGTGACATTTGGTTAAAGAATTCTAAAATTGAAAATACTCATTTGAAGTATCCAAATCAACACTAAAATAGTGCTTCCAATGACAGGCTAAAAAATAAAGACGTCAATGTTTTGAAAAGTGACGTCCATGATCTGCTATCCTCAAACCAAATTTGTCTAGACGTAGAATATTCCCTACCTGACAGTAGCACCACCATTGTTGGAGGACCTCATGTTGAGATGACTGGACACCATATTGACTCCGCTTATTGTCTTTATTATTCCATTTTCAAATTCATAATCTAGAGTTGTTTTGCTGGCAACAGTTACACCGAGAATCTGCAACAAAAATCATTTCAGTGACTTGTTGTAAAGATCTTACACTTGATATGGTTTAAAACACATGCAGTCTTATTCATAGTCATAACCACAGAATATATGTATTTTGTGATACCCAAAAGAATCTAGAAAATGCAAAAGCAAGTGTTGCCAGAAATCAGTATCGGGAAATAGAAACATTATAGGGGAGATAACTGTAGCACGTAATAAGGATTTCATAGACTGTATGTTAATCTACTTTGTTTGGTAAATATGAAGATTTTTGCACCTACTTTATTGGGGCTTGAGAACTGTCCAGCAATCTCGAGATTATTGCACTCCTTCTTGGTCTTGGTGATCTGGGTGGGTGATGTCTGGGTGTAGAGGACCAGGCACTCTCCGGACACATCTATCTGTAATACATCACATTAATAACAGTATGGTTACAGCAGAGTTATAATAGTGATAACATGCTAATCACAGAGTAGATTATAGCAGGGTTATAATACAGTCATAACACTGTTATAACAAGGTTAGAGACTAAGCTTACAGCACGGTTACAAGACAGTTATGACAAGGTCATAATTCAATTATGATACGGTAATAATTATCAGGTTATAACAGGTATGCAATCAAGTTATAACAGTGTTATAATACAGTTATAGTATGGTTAAATCAGGATTATAACAGCGATAACATGTTCATAACAGTGAAAGGTTACACCAAAGCCATAATACAGTTATAATGGACATAAAAGGTTAAAACAATGTCACAAACATGGTTATGATGATATTGATTAGGGTTGGAATATAATTAATTATGTTGCAGGGTTTAAGGAATACAGCAGGGTATGTATAAAGATAGAGCAGGGTTCAAACAGTTACAACAGACATGAAGCAAAGTACATTTGGTACCTTGAGACCTTAAATCACAGATCATGAAACAGCCAGAGTGTTCAGTGGAATAGGTTCCAACTCATGTACTTGAAAACCTGCTGCCATTAAGTACACTGAAGAAATTAATGCCCAGTGAACATGCTATTCCCCTACTGACTGCTGATACATCACATTTACACCCAGTGAATATGCTATTCCCCTACTGACTGCTGATACATCACATTAACACCCTGTGAACATGCTATTTCCCTACTGATTGCTGATACATCACATTTACACCCAGTGAATATGCTGTTTCGCTACTGACTGCTGATACATCACATTTACACCCTGTGAACATGCTATTTCCGTACTGACTGCTGATACATCACATTTACACCCAGTGAACATGCTATTTCCGTACTGACTGCTGATACATCACATTTACACCCAGTGAACATGCTATTCCCCTACTGACTGCTGATACATCACATTTACACCCACTGAACATGCTATTCCCCTACTGATTTCTGATACATCGCACCTACCTCTGACCTGTCCCCGGGCTGTTCCTGCACCTGGAAGAGGGAGATAATGCCCTTCTTGATGTTGCTGCAGAATGCCGACTCTGTCTCTGGGATGAACAGCCTCCCCATGCTGTCCTTGTTCAACTCAAAGTACACGGGGTACTTGAGCAAGGTCCCCAGGGTCCTCTCCTGGTTCTCCCTGGATGCACTCAGGACTGTGGCAGTGTTAAGCTGGAAAGCCACATGTATGGTATAGCATATGTCTAAATACCATATTGATTAATTAATGTTCCAGATACATTTGCTTGTGTGATAATGTGTGACCAGTTAGTATTGTTTGTTTGTTTGTTTAATGCTGCACTCAGCAATATTCCAGCTATATGGCAGCAGTCTGTAATAGTGGTGGTCCGATTAATTGAAATAATCGAAGATTGGTCGCAGTGCCTAAACGACCAAGCAATCGATTGTGTTTTCTCATAATCGAACACAACCAATTTTGGAACACTTGTTTGCATCAACAATATTTCAAGGTTGGGTTTGTCTGTGTCATTATATTTACATTTCATAAGCACTACAAGCTCGTTCCAAGTCATGATTGAATTTATCTTAAAGAATCCAGGAAATCTGTGTTCCTGACATACTAATCACCCTTTATTTGCAAAATTTGCCAATGGATTTTGTGCAATTTGCAAAAAAACCCAACCAAATTGCTACATGTTTTTTTCTTTCTTTTTTTGTTTGCATTAACAAAGATCACAGGAACATTTGATAAATGATGCTAACCAATTATTTTCGATGATTGATCGGTTGTAATGGACCAATAATCAATTATGAGATTTTAACCAATTCCCAACACTAGTCTGTAAATAATAGAGTCTGGACCAGACAATCCAGGCAACAGCATGAGCATCAATCTCCGATGACATGTGTCAACCAAGTCAGTGAGCCTGACCACCCGATCCTGTTAGTCACCTCTACGACAAGCATGGGTTGTGGAAGACCAATTCTAGCCCAGATCTTCACAGGTTTATTATGTCACAAGGTTTAGGAAAGGGTCAACATTATCAGTACATTAATTCCACATCATCACACAGACACCCATATTCACCTCCATCCCGATTCCACCCTTAATAGCGGGCTCCCAAAGAATCGTTAACAAGCTGTGTAAATAATCTGATTAACACTGTTGTTCTTGTTTGAAATCAAGGACGATATAAGGAGTTGAACATCACCAGGGTATTTGTTATACAATCAATGGTCTATTGTCTGAAATTGGGCTTACAGACAAAACTGTAAGTCTTCCCATGCTTAATGGAAGTGATAATTTCTAAAAAAACTTCCAACCAACTAATGACATAATTGAAAGAGACAGCCTCTTCAGTCTCAATAATGTGAAGGTTCCTGTACAAACAATGAGATAAAACCCTTTCAAAAGTACACAGGACTTGTCAGGTTTCTTGTCCTGTCTTGAGATTTCTTACATGTCACTAAATGTAACAGATTCTTGCGCGTCGGATTGTAATGGGGACTTTGTCAATATTTTTGGGTATTACAATGTAAAGTTACTCCCATCAAGTATATAACTAATCAATCATGTTCAAAGTCTTGAGACCGCCTCCGTGGTGTAGTGGTTAGAGCGTCCGCCCGGAGAGCGGAAGGTCGCGGGTTCGACCCCCGACTGCTTCATACTAAAAGACGTTAAAATATGGTACTTGTTGGTCCCTGCCTGGCGCTCGGCATTAATGGGTACAACAAGGACTGGTCGGCTCAGAGTCAATATAATGTGTCTGAGTGGGGTATTCCTGCTTCACTACGGCATGGTATCTCAGTGGGCTAGCACTATAAAACCAGCTTAGGTCTGGGCTAGTACAAGCAGCCGCACATACATACATACACATGCACGTCGTCATATGAGCGAAATATTCTCAAGCACGACGTTAAACCCAATTTCACCTCACCTCACCTCAAAGTCTTGAAATACTGCATCAATGTATTACAAATTTGCTGCGACTTCACACTATATTTTACTTACTGTTTGTTTCTGGGTATATATGACAGACTATGACTCTCACAAAAACATCTCTCCTCTCATTAAATGGTTTCATAAGTTAAAGGGGGAATTTGGCTCAGGTCATATGATAATATATGAATCTACCAGTGCAAGAACACTTCAACAGCATAGTCCCATTACTATATAAAGTATAAAGAATAAAAAGAAGTTATTATCCATAAAAAAGTGTGTCATGTATAATAATACCATGACTTAATGAGTGAGTGAGTGAGTTCAGTTTTACGCCGCTTTTAACAATATTCCAGCTATATCACGGCAGGGGACACCAGAAATGGGCTTCACACATTGTACCCATGTGGGAATCGAACACGGGTCTTCGGCGTGACGAGCGAACGCTTTAACCACTAGGCTACCGCACCACCCTTATGACTTAATGAGAACGAAATAACTGTAAACTTAGCAAACACGAAGTTGATTGGAAGTTTTATTAAATTTTATTATATTTCTTGGTCACTGCTCCAAGACATAATTTTGCTGGATGTAGGCATACATGATTTTAATAATTCACAAACATTTATGTTAAAGATATTCATAAAATGCAAAGCAAAAACTATTTTCTCACATAAATATTAAAAAAACACATGCCTCCAATTCCTACATCCTAGAATTGTCCCTTATCCATACATGCAATACTAAACATGCTGAATATGTAACCCACCTTCAACTTGAACAGCTGTGACTCATCCTCCTGCAACAGGGGTGTGATGTCCAGGCCCAGGGAGAGATGTACTCCTGTGTCCCTCTGAGCCTTGGTCGCCTTGCGACTGTCCAGGTCGTTAAACAACACTGATGTGCTGTACGAATACTTGTACGTCTTTCCAGTCTCATACTTCAGGGCAGAAACTAAATAGAAATAGTGAAAATCTAAGTTGACAGTCTGAATATGAGCATAATCAGGGATAAAAAATCTTTTTTGTAAGTGTGTCTTAGGGCACCAGACAAATATTTTAACCGTGTCTTTCAGAAATTAAGTGTGCCCACTTGTTTTTAGAATAAATGACAATGATGATGATCATTTTGAACTTATTGTTAAAGAAAGAAATGGGTTTATGAGCATTTAGATATGTATGGCATTATTCAATTTGGAAAGAAATAATTGTTTGGGGGAATAAACGATTAAAGGTGAGTTATGTCTCTAAAAAAATAGGCATGTCATAAGGGCACCGAGAACATTTTTTAACCATGCCATTTCAATATTTACCGTGCCTGGTAATGGCACACTAATATATGGAGTATTTCGAACCCTGATAATATAAAAATAAATTCTGGAAAACTATACACCATAACACTTTAAAGCACACTTAAACACCAGTTATATTGAATGTGGGCTAGATTTTGTATTATTGTATGAATGTCTGTGTTTGCAGTGGTCCTGTTCTTGTACTGTGATTTGAATGTCTGTGTTTGCAGTGGTCCTGTTCTTGTACTGTGTTATGATGTCTGTGTTTGCAGTGGTCCTGTTCTTGTACTGTGATATAAATGTCAGTGTTTGCAGTGGTCCTGTTCTTGTACTGTGATATGAATGTCTGTGTTTGCAGTGGTCCTGTTCTTGTACTGTGATATGAATGTCTGTGTTTGCAGTGGTCCTTTTCTTGTACTGTGATATGAATGTCTGTGTTTGCATTGGACCTGTTCTTGTACTGTGATATGAATGTCTGTGTTTGCAGTGGTCCTTTTCTTGTACTGTGATATGAATGTCTGTGTTTGCATTGGACCTGTTCTTGTACTGTGATATGAATGTCTGTGATTGCAGTGGTCCTTTTCTTGCACTGTGATATGAATGTCTGTGTTTGCATTGGACCTGTTCTTGTACTGTGATATGAATGTCTGTGTTTGCAGTCAAGCACTAACGTCTGCCCATGTTCATGACAAAAATTGACACTATCAATCCATGCATTACCTTGGTAACATTAAGGCATATCTATTTAGGTTGAAATGGAGTCCTAAAGTTAAAGTCTTACAGTTCTATGATCAGCTAAAAAACACCTTGTGTATGGGCTTACCATTGTGTTTTAGATTACACCACGTTTAATGTCTTTTAGTCTGAATCAGCCAGGGGATTAAACCACCAACTTTCCTGTTTGGTCATGTGTTGATGGTAAAGAACAATGATGGTTTATAACTTTCACTACAATCATTAATTGATTAATAATTTACAAACAGTCGCACATATTCCTTTAAACGCCTCCCCTGAATTACAACAAACAATGGTATATGAACTCAAAGGGACCACTATCTATCAGTTTGTTATAACTATATGCATTACTAATGTAGTTTAGTTTGACCTGTGAAGGTCCGGGTTATATTATTGATCTTCAGTAACCCATGCTTATCGTAAGAGGCGACTAACGGAATCGGGTGATCAGGCTCGCTGACTTGGTTGACACATGTCATCGGTACCCATTTGCACAGATCAATACTCATGCTGTTGATCACTGGATTGTCTGGTCCAGACTCGATTATTTACAGACCGCTGCCATATAGCTGGAATATTGCTGAGTGTGGCGTAAAACTAAACTCACTCACTCACTAGTGTAGTTTACTGTATACAGATGTCCTAAGAGGATGATGTTAGTTAAGCCCCAAATTTGCAGGAAATGATGGCAAATATTCACACACTGAAATGAAACATTTCCCTAATCCTGCTATAGTAACCATGCTATTAGTAGCTAATCTTACAGCCTTGAACAGCTGATTATTTATGTGACTGTGACAGGAACAAGAAACAGGAAAATGTATAACCCATTTTCACATTATTGAATACACTGAAGTTTAAAATACTGCTGAAGTGGTGAAAACAACCACTTTGGCTGCACATTGCAATTTGAAGAAACTAATCTTTTTCCAAAATTTTCCATTGGGCATTTAGTTAATAATCTTAATGAAATACTGGACAAATATATATTTGAAATCATTCAAGCAGGCTGAAACTGTCTCCAAGGAAAACACAATCAAATGAAATTATGCTTTTGGATTGCTTTCAAGCAGGCTCATCCTGTTTCAAGGAAAATTGCTGACAATCAAAACATGATGAAATCATCCTATTGGCATGTACATATACATCGTGACACATGACAGCTACACAGATACACCATGTCTCCTGTGGTGGATAACCCTTGTCTTTACACACACTTATCTATAAGATGGAGCAAAGTTTACACATTGTTTCAAGAAGGCCATTGTATGAGCATGTCATTGTCCAAGTACTCCTACAAAATTATTATGCTGCTACTAACTGAATGAACATGTTTATGACAAAGAATCATTTCCATATCATGTAATAAAACAGTTGGTACCATACCTGCTAAGAGTGACACGAAGAGGAGGTAAATGTCACTTTGACAATACATAGTCTCTTCTTGAATTTATTACAAAGCTTGCATCTAGACACAACATTTACTCCACAAGCTCCAACTGATAATACATAAAATGTTTGTGACTGTCCGTTAATCATTTTATCCCTGTGTTATCAAATTCCTCTATCTAACGTGGTGACAAGTCAGTGGACAGCGTATTGCATAGTTACACGTGTGATACGCCTCCATTGTGTTATAGGCCTTGGTCATAACCAATGATATGGCAGATAATGACATTGACCATGATGACATTTACTCTTTGTTCCAAGTGCAGAGGTTATCTTCAATCTACTGAGCATCTGAGTCAGCAAATAATGATAAATAATATCAAAATTTTTACTTCCGTTTTATTTTTGCTGAAAACAACAATACTGGTATATAATCATTTATTCATTTGAAGGTGTCATTTCTTATCTCATATTTACTTGTTCTAATCACTTCTTACAGATATAGTTCAGTGTTAACTTAAAATATGTTAATTGAAGTATCAACTTCAATTTATGCTTAATGTTACTGTTATGCGAAACACACAGAATACAATGAAAGTAAACAGGTCTTCTTTGATGGGCATTTTAGAAGTTGAGTTGATGAAGAATGATGACAATTTTATGGATATACAACTTCTTTTATTCTGTGAAGGGCGACCTTATGACATAGATTCTAATGTCGTTGTCAAGCAAGTGATGACACTTATTCACAAAATAAAAGAAGAAGCAGGGGTGGCTTTGTGTGCTGGCAATTAGATGCCTGACTCTGAGGGTTTGAATCCCGGATGGGACTCAACCCAAAATGTACTAGAATTTTTACTTTACTGAAAAAGAGTAATCTCAAATAATACATATGTTAGAATAAAAGAAGTTGTATATCCATAAAAATTGTCATCATTCTTCAAGTAAACAGGTGCTAATGGAAAAGACTTATCATGCTTATAGTTATACTAAATAACTGGAGAGAAATCCATGTCTTCTAAAGGATTAATGGATACTAAATGACAATACAAAATGACCTTTTAAATACAAAACTACCAAATTATGATACATAGGATATGATACATCCAATGACACCATTTCAGCGTGCAACAACCAAAATTCAAAATTAAGTTACCTGTGTGAATAGTTCAGATTTCAAAACAACTTTCTGTAATAGGTAAACAAGGTACGCTTTTGTATCATTGCATTTAGAGAAGTGTTATTACGATTAACCAAATCATTTGAGATGCTTGTGGACTTCTGACATTCATGCTTGTCAACACATTACAGTGACTCAAAACACAGCTGACAAAACATTCACAACAGTCCTCATAGGTCAGATGCAGTGTGGGAAAAATTCATTTCCCATTTCAAAAAGAGTACTGAATAAACTAATGTATATATCTCATAGGTATATTTATTTAGCGATTTACAAGAATGTATTGATTTAGTACTCTTTAAAGTAACTTTTTATGTTTAACCTTAACAAGAATATAATGATTTAGTAGTCTTTAAAGCAACATTTTGTGTTTACCCTTAACAAGAATATAATGATGTAGGGCTCTTTAAAGCAACACCAAAGTAATAGTTTATGTTTAACACTTACAGATAATTATTCTGTATAGAAAGAGCAATTTTATAACCCAATAGAGACCATATCTCAGTCTGTAACTTTTGCCAAAAGTCTGAAGCCAGGGTCTAGAAAAGTTTGGTTTGGTTTAGTAACATTGTGATTTCAAAGATTTTTGTGCTTACATAGATTTATTATCAGCAGCAATAACCACTCAATCTACCAATTTGTTTCAGACTCACTGCACTATTGTAAATATTGCTTCGTGTCTGAATAGCAGAAGTAGGTCCATCCCTACTGATTCTGACCAGAGAACGTATACCTCTGTACTGACATTGAACGTTCTATAAAAGAATTAATGCACAAAGCATTAGGTTCTAATTTTTCTGACAGTGTATCTGCATCAGGAGCTGATAGGCACTCAGTCATTAAGTTAGGTTTTTCTTTTACATGATAGAAACAAGTAAACCCTCTTCATCTACTTTGGTTGGAACTACTCGAAATCGTATCGGTAAGGTATGAATTATCCATTTAATGTCAGTTCATCCGGTCTGGTGTCAGTGATGATGGTGCATCTGACGTCAGAATTCTCAGCGTGTGATCGCATCAACGGAACACAAAGATTTACGGTTAGGGACACAGCATGATCATTTCAACCGAAACTGATGAAATATCAACAAGTTTCGCCGGCCACGTCAGCGAGGCACACTAAAGCATGGTTTTCTTCGTCCACATTCACAGAAACATGATATGGTTAAACATCACCCGGGACACATGCACTACATCAACTTATGCCAGATAAACCTCAGTCAAAACTTACTTTGTATGATGGTAAATATGACAAGAAGCAGAGCCGGCGAGAGGCACAACTGTGACCGGTTCATGATGCTGGGGAAAGGTCGCCAAGTTGTACGCATGTAACTCCCTGACTCCGGACCTACGGCCTCTGTGGACAAAGTCCAGCTATTCAATGATATCTTGCTAACCCTTTGTCTCTGATTGCGGGATGCTTTGGTTATGGATTATTATGCAGTATGGCGTAACGAGGGTCCAGCTGATGACCCGATTGTTTTAGCTCCATCTGTAACCACTTCCTTGATTTCGAGTTCCTGTGTTCCAGAAACTCCCGTCCTCTGCATACACATTAGATCTTGTTAGAGTTAACTCTACTCCCCCATATGTTTAAACGTTCACTTTAAATTATTTTTTGTAGACATTTATTTTCTTTACCATATGTTACATAACGTTCCTGTCTGAATATGTATTAAAACCGTGGAATAACAGCTACTGTTGCAATCAGTGTTGTAATGTAAAACTTTTGGCAATAGCAGACGACGCAAGTTGATCTCACGAGAACACGCGGGATGCAAGATGTCTGCGTCCACGGTGCGCATGGAAGTTGTTGATGTTGTGTTTGAAGAACGATTTTTTTACAATATTGATGTAACTACCTGTCTGTCATCATGAGTGAAACCGACAAACGAGAAGTCGGGAGTGTGGTAAAAGACAATGTAGAGTGTTCCACATCCGAAGATGAACGTGAAAGCCCCGGTTGTTCAGATGAAGACGAGAAAATGAAGGGCTTATCAAAGAGGGCGAGGAAACGACTACTAAAACACAAACGATGGGAAGAAACAAAAAGTTTGAAAAGGTGTCAGATTAACATGTGTTTAATGTCTTCTGACACAGACCATAGATGGGTTTAAAAGGCCGGTTCCAAACGCCCATTTTATTAATTGTAAACATATTTTAACATATGAAACATAACCGACGACTGGTGTAACTGACTATGATGAAATAAGGTGAAATGAAGACATGTGTAGATCAATGTGGGCAGTTAGCTTCAGGAGCAACCATCTATGTACATTTATAGGGACACTTATCTAGAGCAATCCCACTTAACCACTTCGTGCTTTTGTTACTAGGGGTGGTGGAGAAGCCTAGTGGTTTACGTGTTCACTCGTTGCTCTGAAGATCTGGGTTTGATTCCCCACATTCGTTGTTTTCACATTAATTTTCGACTTGCTGTGATAAAAATATCCACTGGTCAACTTCTGGTTTGGTCGTATTACTGATAATGTAAACACACTCTAAATAAAAGCTGTCTGAAGATTGTTTACGTGTGACAACTGTAAGGGGATGTGTAGGAAGGACGGTGGACGGGTGGTGGTGAGATGTGTTTATAAAAGAGCTTGTTAACAAACGTTAAGCTATTTATTTAACTAATCCTGGTCCCTTCCATTCATAAATGAATTGAGATCAGTTAAATTCGACATAAAACCATATACTAGTATCTCTAAATCTATCCTGCTCCTGCCGCCATTCCTATAAAGACACATTGCCTTAGTTCTTCATCTGTCCACCATAAGATGTAAACAATAATCGCACATTTGATGGGTAAATAAGATGTAATATACACAGGTTGCTTGCTCTGTTATCATGCTGTTTATTATCTAATATCTGTTGTATTTATGTATAAATGTAATGGAACATTATTCACATAAGCTTGTTTACTAAGCCATAATCACTTTGGGTGAATGAAATATGATTCAGATATCCATGGGCCAAGTATACACCTTATCAAACCTTGTCTTTTGAATATAGAACAGGCAATATAGTGGAATGATAGATGATACAGCATTTGATACAGATATTGTGTTGAGTTGTTGTTGTGTTGATGTTTACATCTGCTTCCAACTGTTAAGTTGATGCCGCTGACATGGATGCCGTATTTAAAGCCATGAGTGAGGAAATAAAATTTTGAATAGATTTGGACATCAAAGTAAAAACTGGGTATTTAGTTAAAGTTTCGAATATAGTAATGATTTTGACATAAGCCAGTTTTGAGTAAGTGGGGATAAGTAAATTATTATATAGAAAAATAAGTAAATGATAATATAAAACAATAGTAATGATATAATATCTTTGCTTTTATGCTTGCTTTTCTTTTTAATCTCACCTTATAGAAGGGTATTGAAACAAAATGGGAACCATGTACATGTTATATATTAAGATGAAGATGACCTGTAAATTGTTAATGGAACTTGACATCAACATGAATATCTTATCAATGTGTTCACGTAAATAGCTGTGTCTTGTTTTCGTTTCTGACTTTTTCAAGACAAACATAAACATGAAAACAAAGTTGGGGAAGAAATAGCCTAGCTAGGCCAGAATCTCCCCCTTTTGATATAAGAACAAAGATGGGAAACAAGTAGCATTTAAAGTTGATTCAAGGGTGGGGAAAATTTGGCCTAGGACAAACTTTCTCCTGGGAAGATTTAGCCTAGGGGGAAGTTTGGACTAGGCTAAAGTTTCCCTGGGGAAAGTTTGTCCTAGGCCAAAGTTTCCCCGGGGAAGGTTTGGCCAGGGGGAAAGTTTGGCCTATTACACTGGCTTGCGACACACACCTCTACATAGATACCTCACTACAAGGATGGGGAGCGCATCTCGACAACGAAGTGGCATCAGGGAACTGGTCGAAACAAGAACAACATCTTCACATCAACCAACTGGAGATGAAAGCTGTGATCAATGCCATTCAACACTAGTCGAGCATACTGGTCAAACCGTATACTGACGGTCCACACGGACAACTCAACAGTGGTGTTCTACATAAATCGGCAGGGATCAACAAGATCACCAAGCCTACTCCAGCTCACATTCCAGTTGTTTAACATCATAGACAAATTAAACATCTGGCTAAAGGCATGTCACATTCCAGGAGCCAAGAATGTACTAGCAGACGTTCTATCTCGCCCACTTCATCCGTCACCCACCGAATGGATTCTCCACCCAGAGGCGTTCCGGCTCATCATAAGGGAAATAGGATCTCCCTCCATAGACCTGTTCGCCACAAGGTTCAACAAACAACTACAGAGACATTCGTCTCACCATTACCAGATCCCCAAGTCTGGGCAACAGATGCACTGAACATGTCATGGGAAGGTCTAACCACATACGCATTTCCACCTCCGATTCTACTATTGCAAGTATTATTGAAGATCAGGCAGACCCAAGCACTACAACTGACTTTGGTCGTGCCATACTGGCCAGCGAGAGTCTGGTTCCCAGATCTAGTACAAGAACTCGGAAGTCCAACCCTGAAACTACCAGAGTGGCCGAACCTACTCATACATCCTCACACCAAGCAAGTGCACGGAAACCCACTAGTGTTCCAGCTACACGTATGGACCGTATCAAGACTTGCTTGAAGAAAAGAGGGTACTCCGCCAGAGCAGCAAAAGCAGTAACTCTAGCTCTACGTAGATCAACTCGCAACTTGTACGATGACAAGTGGAGGAGATTTGAACAATATGCAGTGCGGAAAGGCTCACAGCAATGAAAAAGCAACACACCCTCAAGTGGCGGAATATCTATGTACTCTTAGATATATGAGGTGTCTGACAGGTTCGACACTATCTACATACCTGGCAGCTATCAGTACAGTCGTTACCATAAAGACGGGCATCAAAGTGACGAAAGTGCCAGAACTACTTGCTCTACTACGATCCTTCAAGCTGGAAGACCAGCAGAAGAAATTCAGAGCACCAGCCTGGGATCTGAACATAGTTCTACAACATCTCATGAGTGATGCTTACGAATCACTAGAGTAGACGACCTTCGAGCTACTCACACAGAAAACTCTGTTCCTCCTCGCCTTAGCCATGGCAGCTCGGCTGTCTGAAATACATGCGCTGGACTTTGGACGAACTAGATTCGACACGGGAGACCGTGCTGCAGTACATCTAGGACTTAGATGGGACTTTATTGCAAAGAATCAGTTCCCTGGCCAGCCGAACAGACAGTTCCACGTCCCAGCGCTATCTACGATCCTCGGAGCAGAGGACACCCAGGACTTATCCTTGTGTCCTGTCAGAGCCCTAAAAATATATTTCCAAAAGACTAAAACAAGGAGAAGAAAATTCAAGCGCCTATTCATCCCCTTGTCACCAGAGACGCGTCTTACGGAAGTCTCAAGAACGACAATGTCATTTTGGATGAGAGCCGTTATACTGAGGGCCTATAAAGCAGCAGGGCTAGATCCTCCAAGAGCCTCCAATCCACATGAAGTCAGAGCACTGGCATCCACTCTTGCTCTGCATGGAAACTGCTCAATATCATCAATAATGGAGGGCTGCTTTTGGAAGACAGACAGAGTGTTTGCCAACCACTACCTCAGAGACAAAGCCACTGAAGACGTCTCCGGCATTCACCAGTTTGGGCCACTTGTTGTAGCACAACAACTAACGGTTCCACAAAGGTGCTGAGTTGGAAATCTCACCCTTTATCACGTTGACTTGTTGATAACCCTCACTCTGAAGAGTTATGGTTTGAAAATCTATGCACACCGTCTAAGACCAGACTAGCATGAGTGATTAAGACTCTGTATGGGTAACAATCTTACCTGTACGTTAAGGGGTCGCAACTCATTTATGGTAACGATGTGATCATAATCTATGAGTTGTTTATAGATAACTAGTAAAAAGAAGATACTAGTATATCTAATATCCACATGACTCTATGAGATTCACTTGTCTGAGAGAGAAGTAAGACAAGATGTGGTCCCCCCTAATTGACAATGGAAGTAGGAAGAATAGGATCTAGGAAGTGTCGTTATGCAGTTCCCATGGGGGATACAGGACGTATCTAAGGACAGCTGATGAATCCACGAAGTGGCTTGACCCACCACCGATTCCGTCGGATTCTGGAAGCATATAAGCATGAGTCAGGATAAGGAAAAATATGTAATTTTTAAAGTAAAATTGATATTTTATACTTATCCTGACTCATGAGGTCAAACCCTCCCAACCTCCCCGCTGAAGACACTTCGGGTTTCACAGCAAACCCAGGTGCTAGGGCTTATTCAGGAGAGAGTGACAAGCATGGCAGGTCACATGACTTTTTGCGCGGGAAAAGGGAGGCAACTCGTGGGTGAGTGAACTTTTACGTCCGCTTTAGGGAACTACAAGGGATTCACGTGTTCCACTACCTTTCGCATAGAAGAAGGAGCAAAGCATATAAGCATGAGTCAGGATAAGTATAAAATATCAATTTTACTTAAAAAATTACATTTTTATTCCAAAGAAGGAGGCAGAAATTAATTATTAGTAGATTTGAAATGTGCATGTTATAAACACAACCCGTGGACCCCTTTTTCTAATACTGAGCATTATCATTTTATTGATCTGGTGAAAACACTTTTTAGTAAACACCAACTTCTATCAAGTGTACCAGGTCTGCATGATTTTATTCCATAGAAAGAGACATGGATGGCCTAGTGTTTTCTAAGGGGTTGCAGTCTGCTGGCAGAGCAGGCCAGAAACCTATGATTGGGGTTTGAGTCCTGCTTTGACCTGATTATGTCCCTTGGTTTGTCAGTACTATACACGTGCTTGTAGGTTTCACTGAAGTGGTGGCACCCACATCGCTCTCATCCCACATTAGGGCGGTAGGGTAGCCTAGTGGTTAAAGCGTTGGCTCGTCACGCCGAAGACCCGGGTTCGAATCCCCACATGGGTACAATGTGTGAAGCTCATTTCTGGTGTCCCCCGCCGTGATGTTGCTGGAATATTGCTTAAAGCGGCAGTCAGTCAGTCAGTCATCCCACATTAAGACCGCCTCCGTGGTGTAGTGGTTAGAGCGTCCGCCCAGAGAGCGGAAGGTCGCGGGTTCGATCCCCGACCGCGTCATACTAAAAGACGTTAAAATATGGTACTTGTTGGTCCCTGCCTGGCGCTCGGCATTAATGGGTACAACAAGGACTGGTCGGCTCAGAGTCAGTATAATGTGTCTGAGTGGGGTATTCATGCTTCACTGCGGCATGGTATCTCAGTGGGCTAGCACTATAAAACCAGCTTCAGTCTGGGCTAGTACAAGCAGCCGCACATACACATACACACCCATGCACGTCGTCATTTGAGCGAAATATTCTCAAGCACGATGTTAAACCCAATTTCACCTCACCTCACCTCATCCCACATTAGTGTCTGTTATTAAAGGAATACTCTAAAAAGAGGGAGCGGGGCGATGGGGTAGCCTAATGGTTAAAGCATCCTCCGTCACACTGAAGACCCAAGTTCGATTCCTCACATGGGTACCATGTGTGAAGCCCATTTCTGGTGTGCCCCGCTGTGATATTGCTGGAATATTGCTAAAAGCCTAAAACCATACTCACTCAGTCTAAAAAGAGATGTTGAAACTAACTCACTCTCACAGTTATACCACAGAAAACTTTGTAAGAGATTTTACTGCAGCTTCAATCAGTAGTTCACAAGTATCTAGTGCTGGTAAGTTGTTGATTTTATATGCCATCAATGTTATTCAGAGCTCCAAGATCCCCAAACCATGTTTTCAAATTTAGCCTCAACCCTGTCATAATCCTCTTTGGCATAGATCAACTACAGTTAGCACAGCCTGAATGTTACATACACCCATGTTAATGTTGTCATAGTATGGAGTTCTGTTACCCCTTGTTTGGAGATTGGATGTAAATGTTTTGTGAATCTTTACTGTGTCGAGTTTGTTTTGATTTTGTTCGACTATTTGTTGTCACAAATGTTTTTTTCTTGTAATTCACAGTACAACCAAGATTATGTTCATGTGTTTCAGAAAACAGGACAAGTTGAAGAAGAAGCGGAAGTTTGAAGATGCTCGAGAGAGAGGGCAGGATCTGGGACCATCCAGGAAATCCCTGAAGAAGAACTGCATGCAGAACTCTCGGTGTAAAGTGAAGGCAGTCATAGACTGCTCCTTCGACGAACACATGACAGAGAAGGTAGGGCATTAGGCAGTTTGCTGAAATGTTGATCACCCAGTAGAGTGAGGTTTGCTCGAAGACAGTGTTGGTGGCCAAATTGACGTAGGTGCAATAACTCTATGTGCAGAGATCTATCTCTTGAAAACACCAGAACCTTATGATCTTGAGTTCAAATACTGATTTGCACGATTATGTTTATAAATGACATGTATTATATTTGGAATTGCACTTTCTCAATAAGAGACGTTCATAATACATTGTATATGGCTAGCGGGGTGATGATGATTTTAACGGGGAGTCACCCATTTTGTTCTGGGGAGGTGGGTGGGGGTGTCAGCAATTTTGTACATATCTGTACCCACTCTCCCACCTCAGCTTCCACATTTTGTTTCTCAGCACCATGCACATACTCCAATCATAGTGAATTGTGCTAAGATATTGCTGAAAGCATTGGCCACGTGTTTAAACCATGACATGGAATATTGCACAATCTACTTATCCTGAATGTTTTATATGTATTTGGTCTACTGTAGGATGTGCGGCATCTGGTCCAGCAGATACAACATAGCTACTCTGCCAACAGACGAGCGGACAACCCACTTCAGGTATAGTCTGTCAGGGTTGCATGTGTGTCGACATCAAGGAACCTAATCCCTTGATCAGAACTTATGTTCATGGTAATGTTATGATGAATTAGAACTATTTTTATGGATATACAACTTCTTTATTCTGTATAGGTGACGTTTTGACATAGATTCTAATGTCGTAATGTTGCCTATACAGAATAAAGTGAGCGTAAAACCAGCTTCAGGAGCTAATACAAGCAGGAAGGTCTCATATGGTTCGATCCCACATTTTTTAATTATGCTTAAAAAATTATGGAAGGGGAGGGGGAATTGATTTCGTACATGACATGCAGGCGGGTTCACTTAATTTGTACATAAATTTTAGGGGGGGTCATTCTCATTGTACATGCTTCTCCATAAAAATCATCATCACCCCCCTAACCATAAATTATGGCACAAATGTACAACCAACTGAACATGTTCTCATGAGGAATGATATTTAAAATGTTCAAATTGATATCACCCTGTGTGCAGACAAGCAGAATCCATAACATTAGTGATAATATCAATGTGATTTAAATCAGCCAAAAGTGATGAATTGGTTTCAAAAACTGATTTTTAGCAGAGATTATGGAACCCATGTTGAGCCAAAGCTACAAAATTTCTATTCATTAAACCAAGTCACAGAGTCTGACCACCTGATCCATGACTGACTGACTGAGTTTGGTTTTACGCCGCTTTAAGCAATATTCCAGCAACATCACGGCGGGGGACACCAGAAATGGGCTTCACACATTGTGCCCATGTGGGGATTCGAACCCAGGTCTTCGGCTTGACGAGCCAACGCTTAACCACTAGGCTACCCCACCACCCCCCTGATCCATGAAGCTGTCTCTTATGACAAACATAGGTTATTGGTGAGGTGAGGAGAAATTGGGTTTAACATCGTGCTTGAGAATATTTCGCTTATATGACGACGTGCATGCATGTGTATGTATGCGTATGAGCGGCTGCTTGTACTAGCCAGACTTAAGCTGGTTTTATAGTGCTAGCTCACTGAGATACCATGCCGCAGTGAAGCATGAATACCCTACTCAGACACATTATACTTACTCTAGACGACCATTCCTTGTTGTACCCATTAATGCCGAGCGCCAGGCAGGGACCAACAAGTACCATATTTTAACGTCTTTTGGTATGACGTGGTCAGGGATCGAACCCACGACCTTTTGGACGCTCTAACCAAAACACAACGGAGGCGGTACATAGGTTATTGGAGACCAATTCTATGCATGTGTTTGAAAATTTTAACATGATGTCATGCGAAGTTCAGGGATGGAACCTGAATCATTTTGTACTTGAATATTATTGATATTCTATAATGCTTCAGGTACGGGTAAGAGTTGGTCTTCAGCAACCGATGCTTGTTGCAAGAGGTGACAAATGGGACCAGAGATCATGTCCCTGATGTGATGTGAAGATCTGTACTCATTTTGTCCATCACTTGATTATCAGGTCCAGGGGTGGTCGGGTAGCCTAGTGGTTAAAACGTTGGCTCGTCACGCTAAAGACCCGGGTTCGATTCCCCACATGGGTACAATATGTGAAACCCATTTCTGGTGTCCCCGCCGTGATATTGCTGGAATATTGCTAAAAGCGGCGTTAAACCATACTCACTCACTCGCTCATTATCAGGTCCAGTCCTCAGATTTTTCCTTATCCTGACTCATGCTCTTTTTGCTTGTCTTCTTCTTCTTGCGAACATAGTGGAACACTTGTATCTCCCTAATTGAAGCTCCCTTCAATGTAAAATCACTAATTAGTACACCACGAGTTACCTCCCTTCCACAAGCGCGGGAACGAGGGCGCCACCTCTACCCATGTGCCTCACTCTCTCCTTCTTCGCCCAGTGAGCTGGACGTGAGAGCGCCTGTGTCTCCCGACACACTATATCCTTGGATTATATTTAGTTAGTTACCTCGTATAGACATCTATAGAGGTTTAGCTAGTATCCTTCAACAATTATATATTGATATTTAGTCGCGGTTTCTACTGTTTATTCAATGGACGCCATGTTTGTTCTGTGGATTACGTTGATGAAAATTCTGTACTATTGCAGATTACGCTTTTTATTCTGCTGCTGATCCGCATTTAATATGCCCTAGCTGTACCATGCCATGTTCATTTTATTCACGTGGCAGTTAAGTGTACTAATTTATCCAATTCTGCCTTTAATAAATAAATACTTTATGTTTGAGACGCCGCAGCAGATAGGTCACGTGATGCAGAGTCTAGCCATGACTGATACACCTGAACCCTCGCCAGTCTACTGCTGTTGGTCGACCCCTCTCCGCCTGGTATTCCGCTAGAGTGGTGGAGAGGCGTGGGATGTAGTCCGGCGCTTCCAAGAAGCCGCCCTGCTTCCCCAGACATCCCATCGCCGCAGCCGAAGACTAGAGGGCTTCTACTGCATCTCAACGCAGACTTCACACACCCCCAGGGCAGCGCCGACCTCTGAGGGGAAATCAACGGTCTACTAGAACTTTCTCAGCCAGATTGTTCCCGTCGCAGATTTGGGCCTGTATGATGATCAGCCGATCATCATACCTGATGTACATCAAAGAATGACCGATGTCGGCAACAGTGATATCAGCGCAGATCAACATGCAGCCTGATGTACTAACGCTGATATTCGATGATCTTCCTGAGGGTCCCGTCGCTACCAACACTCAACGCAGACTTCGCGACTCCCAGGGCAGCGCCGAACCTCTGAGGGGAAATCAACGAAGTCTACTAGGACTTTCTCAACCGAGATTGTTCCAGCCGCTGAACTGGGCCTCTACGATGATCAACCGATCATCATCCCCGGCGCACGCCACAAGAGTTTACCAGTGACATCAGCAGAGATCGCCATGCAGCCTGATGTCTTCTACACTGATGTCAGACGACTTCCCTGAGGGCTCAGCAGCTGTCATCGCAGAGAGGGCACCGACCACTTCGTCGCAGACCATCCCAGACGAAGCTGTTGCGCAGATCATGACCATGATGGAGGGCCACTACAGACGGGAGAAGCAGCCAGCCCAGGGCCTGAGCAACGCAGACAACACCCCAGAGGCACCCCCAGTCAGCTTAGCAGCCACCAGCCGAAGCAGCCTTTCGAAGGAAGTCACAGACCACCCCGACGAAGGACCCAGATGTACAGTCTTCGGCGAAGGCTTTTGCGAAGACGGAGAGATCGTCACCGCCCTCGGCCTCATCCTCAGATGCGGACTCAAGGTCATCCCATAGACGCGAGATCACCTAGACGATCTCCACGCTGCGTTCACCACGACGATCTCCACGCACATCACCACGCCGATCACCTGCGCGGCAGGTCACCACACAAGTCGGCAGCGCCACCCGACATAGAGATAGCAGCACACAGGTCACCATCAGAAGAGCATCAACCTCTCATCACCGATGCTGGTACAGAAGATGATGGAGACATCATCTTCTCAGACGCTGAGATAAGATATTGGATGGTAAACAACCTAGATTTATCTTCACCGCCCAAGAGTGGCAACTCAGCGCAGACATACCTGATGAAGGAAGACAATGCAGACGCCGCCACCCTACCGATCGACCTGGATTGCCGCGGTGCCACAGAATGTGGACACAGCCTACCATAAAGGCATGTAAGTTCAAAACGCCAGAGGCGTGATGTTCTTTTGGCCTTAATAGATCTAGAACGATCAATGAGATTCTTATCACCAGATTTCGTGGACACGACTTCTGAAGATGATAGGATGATCTACTCGGCTCTACTTATGCAGAACCAGCAAGAACCACACCCTGTATGAAGCTAACGCCATATATTGATCGGACTCTAGACACTTCCGATAAGGAAGTCCCAGGCCGCCTCCGCGTAAAGGAACCAGAGCCTCACCAGTTACAAGGGACGCCACGGAGGAGAAAGCCGCCGACGACCCCACATCCTGTTGAACACAGAGGTCGCTTCACGAAGCAAGCATGAGTCAGGATAAGTATAAAACATCAATTTTTTACTCTTAAAAATTACATATATATATACTGATCGGGTTTCTGATTCTCGACCTTCCTTCGAAGGTCGCCAAGGCTAAGTGGCTCCAAGTCTGCTTCACCCAGAAGATCTAGGAAGGGATACTTCGAGAGCTTCGCGGAAGTCTCCGGCGCTCACCGAGGAAGTATCCTCCAAGGTCTCCATATACTAGCCACTCGCCATATATAGCTACTTTCGTCAGTCCGCTCAAGACATCGCATAAAGTGTCTATCAACTGTATGCCATATGCCGCCTATAAGCCCACGCCAAGACAATTGCACAGGCTATTTACAACACAGAACGCCGCTATATTAATTAGTCAACGACGCTTCATAGATATTCACAGAAATCAACTTTCCGTGATAGATTGCTAGAATATGCTATCCCACACTACGATACGATTATCTACATAAGCGTGACCATTACGCAGATCTGCAGACAATTCAATATCGAAATTGAACAGCAACCTGTTACAGCGAAAGTATAACTCATAATCGCCAACGCTTTGAGAAGTAATATGTACAACAAGTTCCAGCTTTTAATTCTACAATTATGACGATACATTCATGTATACAGTCTACAAGCTGACAACTTGCAAGTTTATTGTACCTTTATATAAGGAAGTCGGAATTATATTCAAACTGGAAGTTACTTTCACTCGACAGCCAGGAAAATAACCTACCCAGCATTAATATTACAGAGCGAGGTATTTCACTACGGGAGGTTTCGCTACTTTCATTAACCCTCAAACACGCGGGTCACTCGGTAACTTCGAAAGCTACGTGAAGACCGACGACATGCTAATATAAACGACGCAAGATTTTATACAAGGTTTTTTCCTGCTACACCGGTGACATCACAGCTGGTATTCTACAGAATCAAAATGCCTTGTTCTGATTGGACCATGCGATGGACAACGCACTCCACGAGAGGTCGGGTCTTAGTTCACAGTTCAAGACTCCCACGCCATAAGTGACAACTATATATCAGTGAACGAAAGCAAGCCTCCTTACAGTCCAGCTAGTTAATCTGAACCTTCATGATTGGGCTGCTTTCTTCAGGTTAGAGAGACCTCCCTGTCAAGTTAGGGACGAGGCACCGCAGTCAGGCTGCATTTTTACATAAAGTTCAACGAGGGACAGACACACCTGGTTGTGCACCTACATCGCCAAGGACTTCGGGAGAGCTTAATTTACCTAGACGACGAAATACAAGTGGATCTAAATCCAGCCGCCTCAGTCTACAACTGAATTTCATCATCAAACTACTAACACAACTAGATGGTGAGTAAACCTACTTAAGCTTTCTGATTGGAGGATTAAAACGAAGTTTCACGCCCAACTTCGATCTGTATATAGTTCCAACACCTCACAAGTGAGGTTTATGAACACGCCTGGATGACATACTTGGACTTCATGATAATGATGATTCTATCAATGATGGCCAGCAAGAGCACTGTAAATTTATCTCCACCAACCAAACAGGAGGGAAAAATGCATCAGATTATTTCCTCTATATTCAAGTTACGCAGACTGAAGTCTCATGTACTACCATCTTCTGGATCAGAACTGTCATACTATGTGCCTACAAGACTGATGGACCCGATCCTAATTCTCCATGAGCTTCTAATACTCATGATATTAGAGCTAACTTCTACAATTGATCTACAAATGTTATTTGAAATTATGGAGGGGTTATTTCTGGAGATCCGATATGGTGGTTGCCAACCATTATCTGAGAGATATCACCGCCAAGGACGCCTCAGGTATCCACCAATTCGGTTCCAGGGTCCTCAGACAACAGTTGACAGTTCTCGGAGAAGATAAGTCAATCTTACAGATTTCTACTTATCTTATAACAGTACCTAAATAGCTACATGCTATATATAATTTGTTTAAGTTCTTTTTATCATCACAGTACTATGATTATTACATCATACAATATATAAGTTAACAACTCTACAGAGTTTGTTATTATATATTTACCTTAAGTTAATCATATCTTAAGCGTTAGTACTATGGTTGCATTATAAATGCATTAGCTAATAAACTCTACAGAGTTTTTGGCCATTATATACCTAGCTTAAGTTAATTATATCTTAAGCATAGTACCTATACACATATTATAAAAATATATTAGCTTACAAACTCTATGGAGTTTTTGCTATTATATAGGTAGCTTAAGCTTATTCATATCTTAAGCTCAGTACTATGTTTATATCATATAATATATTAGCTAACAAACTCTAAAGAGCTTTTTCCTAATTGGCTTAAGTTTTATCATATCTTAAGCATTATGGTTACATTATAACATGTATTAGCTAACAAACTCTACGGAGTTTTTGCTATTATATATGTAACTTAAGCTTTATTCATATCTTAAAGCAGTACTATGTTTATATCATATAGGTATATTAGCTATCAAACTCTAAAAGAGTTTTGCTATTATATATTTGGCTTAAGTTTCATCATATATTTTAAGCTTTATGGTTACATTATAACATGTATTAGCTAACAAACTCTAATGGAGTTTTTGCTATTATATATGTAGCTTTGGTTTCCTTCATATCTTAAGCTCAATACTATATTTATATCATATAAGTATATTAGCTAACAAAACTCTAAAAGGTTTTTTTTGCTATTATATATTTAGCTTAAGTTCATCATATCTTAAGCAGTATGGTTACATTATAAAATGTATTAGCTAACAAACTCTACTGAGTTTCTTGCTTTTATATATATAGCTTAAGTTTAATCATATCTTAAGCTCAGTACTATGTTTTTAACATAAAAAGTATATTAGTTAAAAAACTCTAAGGAGTTTTTTGCTATATACATTTAGCTTAAGTCTAATCATATCTTAAGCTTAATACTATGGTTACAATATAAGTCTATTAGCTAATAAACTCTACAGAGGTTTTGGCTATTGTATATGTAGCTTAAGTTAATTATATCTTAAGCACAGTACTATACTCATATTGTAAAAATATATTAGCTAACAAACTCTACAGAGTTTGCATATTATATATATGTAGCCAAAGCTTATTCATATCTTAAGCTCAGCACTATGTTTATATCATATAAGTATATTAGCTAACAAACTCTAAAGAGTTTTGCTATTATATAATTAGCTTAAGTTTAAGCATATCTTAAGCTTAGTACTATGTTTATATCTTAAAGTAATTTAGCTAACAAACTCTAAGGAGTTTATACTAGCACTTAACAAGCTTAAGTCTATTAGTCTTAAGCATTGGATTAATGTTATATATACTTTATCATAATAAGTACATTGTAGTCAAGTACATTGTAATAACCTTTATATGGCAGCTGATAAGTGAGCAGCAGGAATTCATCAGTTCAGTGCCTTTATGAAGTTCCCATAGGGTTATTACAATCATCACAGTTCAAATCACTAATTATTAAAATCCAAAGTATTATATATTCCCACCTCCTTTTCCTCGTAGGGATTCTACAAGCAAAAAGAGATGAGTCAGGATAAGGAAAAATATGTAATTTTAGAGTAAAATTGATATTTTATACTTATCCTGACTCATGAGGTAAGCTCCTCCCATCCTCCCCACATAACACTTTGGATTTCCCTGTAAATTCAAATGTTGGGCTCAGTATATGAGGAGAGAGTGAGGCACATGGGTAGAGGTGGCGCCCTCGTTCCCGAGCTTGTGGAAGGGAGGTAACTCGTGGTGTACTAATTAGTGATTTTACATTGAAGGGAGCTTCAATTAGGGAGATACAAGTGTTCCACTATGTTCGCAAGAAGAAGAAGACAAGCAAAAAGAGCATGAGTCAGGATAAGTATAAAATATCAATTTTACTCTAAAAATTACATTTTTGGCAGACCGCTGATACAGGGGCAGATCCAGAAGAGTGTGTGCGTGCATGCGTAGTTGCGTGCAACCCCCCTCTCCCCCCAAAACATTTTCCATAAGGAAAATCCCTATCCTTTGGACTTCATGATTTATGTGCATCCCCCCTTTCTATAAAATCCTGGATGCACCTCTGTGGTAGCTGGAATACTGTCTGGGGTGTAAACAACAAACAAACAAGTCTTAGTGTACCTCTAACTCCTCCTCCAAGATGACTTGGGCTAGCACACCAGAAGGTGATATGGTGGTTGTGATTGTTGTTCCAGTTCTACGTGTGTGGTATTAACGGCAAGGCACTGCAGAGACTTGATCAGATCGGAGACTATAAGGGATGGGATGTAAGTACACTGGATTCCTGTAGCCAGGATGATGTCGCTGTTAGTGCAATCAGACTGATTAGCTGTTTTTCATGAAAACAAATAATTTGTACATACTTATGTTACTTAGTATACATGATGTGGATGTGACATGATGAGGATGATGCTGTTGTGGTGTAATATCTAGAAAATCTTCATTGAAGAAACAGTAGTGGTAGTTTGAGATAACTTTGTGCTCCCTGTGAGTATTCCAGAGCACACTAGATCAGTGATACCACAAGCTTGATGGAGTTAGATGAGAATTTATGTGGGACCATGACAACTGCATGTGCTAAGTAGTTAGATGGGTACCAGTTCAGTATAAATAGATAATATGTTCATCCTGACATCATACCCTTGTGACCTGTGAAGGTCCGGGTTAGAATGAACCTTCAGTAACCCATGCTTGTCGTAAGAGGCGACGAACGGGATCTTGGTTGACACATGTCATCGGTTCCCAATTGCGCAGATCGATGCCCATGCTGTTGATCACTGGATTGTCTGGTCCAGACTCGATTATTTACAGACCGCCGCCATATAGTTGGAATATTGCTGCGTGAAACTAAACTTACTCACTCACTCATACCCTTGTGAAGATCCATGTGAGTGAGTGAGTTTAGTTTTACACCGCTTTCAGCAGTATTCCAGCAATATCACGGTGGGGGACACCAGAAATGGGCTTCACACATGGTACCCATGTGGGCAATTGAACCTGGGCCTTCGGCATAAGGAGCGACCGCTTTAATCACTAGGCTACTCCACCACCCCAGATCCTGTGAAAACTGCTCATGCTTTCAGCTTCAGGCCGGTCATGACTTCGCTAGTTACAGGTTTCTGTTATATTGTAGATTTTGAATCTCTCCTAGGTTATATGGTGTTTATCATTCAAAGCTGGGTTCATCAGGATATATTGATATAAAAACACTGCATGACAACTGACTGGATGTGTCTACAGCTAGCTGTCTTTAACAGGTGTACTTCAAGACCGAGAACTACCTGGACCTATTCCCAAAGGGGGATGTGGTCTACCTGTCCAGTGATTCCCCCAATGTGCTGCAGGAGCTGGAGGATGACAAGGTGTACATCATCGGGGGACTGGTCGACCACAACCATCACAAGGTGACCAATTTCTAAATTATTCCTGTTTGACTGATTCAATAAAATAGTAGAAACGTTTTTTCAGCGAATAGGTCTGGGCCCTGTTTCACAAAGCTATCGTAGCGCTAAGACTGTCGTAAGCCTATGCTACAGTATAGGAGGTACGATTACTTCGAGAAAACTTACGAGATCTTAGGTTTATGAGAGCTTTGTGAACGGGGCCCAGGGGCATATTATACTTTGGGCAAGGGGAACATAAACAAACATCAAGGGTACATCAACCCATGCCCCCCGAGGGACCAGTGAACAACGTATTTATCTTACCGAACACCTTAATGTTAATTTTGAATTGTTTGCAGCACGGATACAAATCTTTTTGTAGCATTTGTGAGATTTTGCTGACAAGAAAAACAGATTTAGAGTTATCTCCCTTCCATCGATTTGCATTCGCAAAACATCGATAATTTCCGTACATCATAAGTGATTCAATGTTATCCGAGATAAAGATTTACTACCACGAAGTACAGAATGAGTTGCTATTGACAGCGGGATACATTGAAATGTTACCCGCTTGTAAGCGGGGTACATTGAAAATAATAGAAGAGCGTTCAGCCAATCAGAAAGCGACATTTATGTGTGAGGTAAGATAAATAATAATAGAATGGCGATACAATACCCTTGATAATTGAGGATGCAGTGTTCAAAGATGTTGCGTATCTCTATACTGTAAGGATCCATGGATTAGGGCTCAACTCTTTAACCATTATGTACCTATGCATTTCACACTAGTGATTATATAAATTAAATGGTTTTGGCCTCTTATACTGGGACAATCTGGTCCATTTGTCTAAAATCATACAGTTCACTGTGCAGAGTTGCTTCCTTAATGCAAGACAAGATCCTTTGTTCGAATCCTAGTTTGCACAGAACATAGCTTTGTACCCATTCACAGCTGGGAGACCCGTGAAGGTCCCGGGTTAGAATTGGTCGTCAGTAATCCATGCTTGTCATAAAAGGCCACTATGCTTGTCGTAAGAGGCGACTAATGGGATCGGGTGGTCAGGCTCGCTGACTTGGTTGACACATGTCATCGGTTACCAATTGTGCAGATTGATGCTCATGTCGTTGATCACTCGATTGTCTGGTCCAGACTCGATTATTTACAGACCGCCGCCATATAGCTGGAATATTGCTGAGTGCGGCGTAAAACTCAACTCACTCACAGCTGGGTGGACTGGGACACATTGTCACAGTACTTTGTCCAAGTTTACTGCACGTTGCTGTACCCACAACTAGGTGTTTGCACGTATTCATGTGACCACCATCTGGTCATATACCAACGGATTCAAGGGTTCTTTTAAGTGCACAGGGTTGTGTACTGTACACAAGGGGTTGTGACAACACTGAAAGAGTCTGCACACAATGTTGACTCCAAGGTTTTTTACACCCGGTCACAGGTGGGCTCGATCCCGTCACCTCAACCTCGCTGGATCACTTGCCTGGCGCCTTAGCCAGCTCGCCCACTGCGCCCCATGGATGGTTGTTAAAAAACATATTACTAACATGAAGCTGGCACAATCTGGAATGCTGTTTCACTCACTCACTCCTATTTCCAGGGTTTGTGTCACCAGCTTGCAGTGGACAGAGAGGTTAGTCATGCCCAGCTGCCCATAACAGAATATGTGGAAATGAAGACCCGCCAAAGTCCTTACCATAAACCACGGTGAGTCTCCCATGTTGGACTATATCATTATCCTGAACAGTAGATGTTGTTTATGCTATCAACCACTGGCGTGACTGGTCCAGATTCAATATTTTCAGCAAGGCCAGCATGATATTACTGGAATATTGCTGACTGTGGCGTAAATAATAAACAAACAAACATCATTCAGATGTATATGTCATTTACACAGTATAAGGCATTCACTCTCAATAGTTGTGTTCCTTACCCATGCCAGGATCTTATGAACGTGTTTACAAATCCTTGATTTGTCCCAAAGTGGCATTAAACCTGAATCAATCACTCCCACTGATAGGTTAGTCAGTCAGTGAGTTTGCTGTAACACTGCTCTAAACACTATATTCTAATTATACACTCATGGAAACGAATAAAGGAACACATGAAAGTACAAGTGTTCCTTTATTTATTTCCAGAATTTCACCCACAGTGCAATCCATACCTTGTGAAGAAACCTGGAAAAGAATAAAGGAACACTTGCGCTTTCATGAGTTCCTTTATTTGTTTCCATGAGTATATAACAGTGTGTCTGCTTACGCTGGCAGAAAGCTTGAAGTAATTCTTGTCAGATATTTCATTATAGTGAAACTCTTCAGCACGTTCACGTTGCTGTTAAATCTAGAAACATAAGTATGGTGAATTAATGACCCTGGATGTATTTTCAGTATTTGAGATCCTCCTGAGGTACACAGAGACCAAAGATTGGAAGAAGGCATTTTTCCAAGTCCTGCCACAGAGAAAAGGGTTGAAAGAAAAAGAAAAGGAAGACTCACAAGATGTGCCTAAGAAAGATCTTTGTGTGAAAGCTGAAACAGTTAACAATGAAGGCAGTAGTGATGCAACAAATAAACAAATAAATACGAATACAAGCTGATACTGGCACTGATACTATCAAGCCAACTTGAAGAAATCGTCAAACTCCCGTTTGCCTTCATGAGATGGACAGCAGTATGAAAAGGCAAATAGTGCAGTGCATAGGGGTATTTTATTCTTCAGATATTTCTAAAAATCCACATTTCACTATTATTACTTGCTTGATTTTTCGGCCATTGTGACATCAATGTCAGAATGAGGCTCTACATTTCAACCACTAATTCAGTTATGAGGACTTTCAAATGTGATCTGTATTCGAGAAGGTGGTTTACTGGTCAAAAAGGTTGCCCTTCTTATGAGTGTTGTCAATTAATGAGTATCATCCTGGCTGTCATGTTTTGTCCATGAGGTCGACCTGATGTGTCATTGTCGCGACCTGGCTGATGGTGCGTCAAGGTGCCCTGTGGGTAGACTAAGTTTGACTTTGATTACACAATGCCATTTAGAAAGTGGTCAAATGTAACATATGTTATATTTGGGATTACACTTTCTTAGTAAAGTACAAATTCTAGTACTTTTTTTGTGTTGAGCCCCATCAGGGATTCGAACTCACACCCTCAGAGTCAGGCACCTAATCGCCAGCACACAAAGTCAGCCGTCTAACCCGCTCAGCTACCGCGACTTCCACAAAAATGGAAGTCGGACAACTGGTAGTTTAGACTGCGGGCTTTGTGTACCCCTTTGATAGGTGTTAATTGTCACGGCTCCCACGGCTGAAAGCTATGATTACACAAAGTGTAATCCCAAATATAACATATGTTAAGTTTGACTTTGTGTCATCAGTGCTTATAGTGTCCACCACTGGTTTGTAGGGATGGTCTTGACTTTTTGCAGCTGCCTGGTGAGTCACATGAACTGTTTGATAAGGGAGACAACTCTGTCATTATCAAGACGATATTCATATTAGACTGATGCTAGTTTGATGGCATTAAACTCAATCTTAATTTTAAAAAAGTTTACTTTAGATGTGAACGGTCCTGATTTTACACACATTCACTTTGTGATATGTACCTCTGATGGATGTATGGGATTAAAGCTATGAAAAACAAGACAACAGTCAACAGTGTTAGATTTATTTCACTCACTTGCTTATGTACAAAAGTATCACAGGGAAGGAACACACTGGTGTTAGACACGATAGGAACAAACAGTGGCACAAACACGTCAAATATTAATGTGGTATTTTGATTAAAACTATGCTTAATTTTACATATATGTACAAGCAAATATGACTTTGGAATGAAATGACTGCATAACGGCCTCAGCATGATTACCTCCAGTCGAGTATTTCTGAAATGATATGTCCCATACAACTAATCACATTAACATAAGATAGGCTATGTCTGGTGTGGACATGCTGACGGGGGAGTCTGCTAAATGCAGGGCTTTGATTGAACAAGGCAATACTATTTACACAATTTTATACAACTAGTTTTAAGATAATGGTGCAATATGGTGGAGGGTAAACATGAAAACTTGTGATATATTGTGTTTTATTATTTTGCAGTTTTGTAACTTGCATAAAACTGATAATGTGAACAGCATTATCAGTTTTGGATGATTACTTTTTATGTGCTACATGAATTATCATAAAAAGTGGCAAAAATGTCTCTACTATAATTAAGTCAAAAGTGCTATAGATATTACAATATGAAAAATAGAGGCACGCACATGAATTCAGAATATGAAAAGTGTTGAACAGAATATGTGGCGTTGACCAGTTCACCCTGTAAAGCTATCACAGCCAATGCTTGAGCTTATTCTAACATGACAACATACACAGTCCCTGTACATGTACTACAGCCTTCAAAAGATGACACTCCGTGATTGGAAACAAAACACAAGTGTAAGTTACTATACCCTCAAAACACGTTCAGAACAACCTGATTCTTTTGTATTACTATCACTATACATACATGTACATAAAAGAATTGGATGATCCTTAACACTTTTGAGTAGTGTAGATTTCATAATACTGTCGCAAGATGCCATTTGAAACTGACAATCTCTCCATGTTGCCATAGCAATAGCTCATGTTGCCATGACAATAATTCATGCCACCATGACCCTACCTCGTGTTGCCATAACTCCAGTAAGAAATCAGATTCTCGAAACAATGACTCAAAACGAAAGTGTAAACTAGTCATAGGGGAAGCATCCATGGAGCCATGTTTATAAGGTGAGCTGAATCCGTTTCCAGGTGTTCACAGTCACACAACCATCTCATCACAATTATACAAAATGGTCTTCTCCAAAACATAAACTGGTTTAAGCATTTAAATGGTTACTATCTGGGATATTTAGAAAGTGTTGTTGTTTATAGACTGTTGTTGATTCCACATGTTGTCTGGAACTGCCCCGTTCACAAATGGTGACTTGGTGTACTTTAGCCTGGCGTCGGCTGTGCCTGGAGGCCTGACGTCAACGCCCCTAGAGATACGTCCGCCTTGTGTGGGTGGTCGAAATGAGGACTGTTTGAAAACTTCATTTGTAGGAGGCTTGATCAGTACATCTGAAGTACAGAAAATGAGTTATTTTATTTATTAATTAATAAGTACTTGGGCAAGTACTTCAGCTTGAACGTTTAAGAATCTACACAAAGCATCACAAATGCAATACACATGCAGTTATTATCCAAACTATATTTTCTTATGAGTACTAAAAGTAGTTGCCAGGTGAATAGTGTTCAAAATGTCCCTCGTATAGATTTTTTGTTTGTCTTGGATCACTAGCCGATGCACATGTATGTACAAGAAACAGCCAGAGATATAAAACAATGACTCAAAACGAAAGTGTAAACTAGTCATAGGGGAAGCATCCATGGAGCCATGTTTATAAGGTGAGCTAAATCCGTTTCCAGGTGTTCACAGTCACACAACCATCTCATCACAATTATACAAAATGGTCTTCTCCAAAACATAAACTGGTTTAAGCATCGGGTCACGTTCCACTTGAATACCTTTTAATAAATTTAAATGGTTACTATCTGGGATATTTAGAAAGTGTTGTTGTTTATAGACTGTTGTTGATTCCACATGTTGTCTGGAACTGCCCCGTTCACAAATGGTGACTTGGTGTACTTTAGCCTGGCGTCGGCTGTGCCTGGAGGCCTGACGTCAACGCCCCTAGAGATACGTCCGCCTTGTGTGGGTGGTCGAAATGAGGACTGTTTGAAAACTTCATTTGTAGGAGGCTTGATCAGTACATCTGAAGTGCAGAAAATGAGTTATTTTATTTATTAATTAATAAGTACTTGGGCAAGTACTTCAGCTTGAACGTTTAAGAATCTACACAAAGCATCACAAGTGCAATACACATGCAGTTATTATCCAAACTATATTTTCTTATGAGTACTAAAAGTAGTTGCCAGGTGAATAGTGTTCAAAATGTCCCTCGTATAGATTTTTTGTTTGTCTTGGATCACTAGCCGATGCACATGTATGTACAAGAAACAGCCAGAGACATATATTTAGAACGATGATAAATGCATTCCTCACATGGGACGGCGGGGTAGTGGTTAAAGCGTCCGGACATCACACAGAAGACCAGGATGGTTCCCCGTACGTGTAATACATGTGGAACCCATTTCTGGTGTCCCCCACAGTGACAATGCCGGGACATTGCAAAACCATAAAACGGTACTGACACACTTCCATTTTTACATATAACCAAACTGTGCCCTGTTGTGACCAGACCCGTGAAGAAGATTCGGGTTAGAATTGGTCTTCAGTAACCCATGCTTGTCATAAGAGGCGACTAACGGGATCGGGTGGTCGGACTCACAGACTTGGTTGACACATGTCATCGGACCCCAGTTACATAGATCGATGCTCATGCTGTTGATCATTGGATTGTCTCTTCCAAACACGATTATTTATAGACCGCCGCCATATACCTGGAATATTGCTGAGTGCGACGTTCAACAACAACTTGTGACCAAAACCATAGGGCTGCGCAATATAACCGGTTTACCGGTATTTACAGGTTCAGACATGAAAACGATACGTATTGCGATACGCTGATCGAAAACCGGTATTTTGACATGCATTCGGAAAACCTCGTAACACTCGGAAATCTTCGGATATTTCCGTTTTTTTAATTGTTCTTTTCCCTGTTTCATTAGTGCCAAATGTTACTTACATTTTTATTTTGTCATGATTAAAAGTTTTTATTAAAGGTTAATCAATCATAGTGATTTTGTTGTATTTTTGCTTTATAATCAAGCATTAACTCGATTATAAATAGTTTTGTTTAAAAATAATTCTTGCAATATATTGCAATACATAACGCAATATATGCTTCCGCATCGCAATATATCGCAATATGATAATTCTCTGCAATACCCACCCCTACAAAAACAGGTGTCTCCTTCCCGATGGCATCAGTGATTACCTTCGTCTTCGATGACGGCCTTGGGAGAGGCTGGTTTCATGGGTATGTGCGGAGGGGACGGTGCTGGTACCGGCATGGCAGGCTCGGCCTGGGGTGGGGGGACGGCAGGAATTCCAGGCATTGTCTCTACGGGATCCATGGTAACCGCCATCGGCATCGTCGGTCCTCTCGGGATCACAGGCTCGTCCACCAACGTCAACCTGCGCAGAAATAGTTGAAACAAGTATGACTACCCGTGTTTGGTTCAAGGTTATTGATGAAATTATGCAACGCTATCAGAATCTAAACTCGCGTTCAAGGTTTTGTATAGTTGTCCTCGCCAACCCGTGGTCAGGTCCTCTGTGGTAACACATTTTGCTCTCCAGAGTTACGTTTCTGACTATATTTAGCATCCATGATGTAAGTAAAACCCTGTTCAAAATTCCATCAAGCCACAATGATATTTGGTTACACATGTATCCCGCACCTGTCTATCATGCTGTCATCCTTGCAGTCTCCGATGATCTGCTTGTCGTTGATAGGTGGCAGCACCGGCCTGTCGGTGACAGCTTGGGCGGGAGGCTGGTGACTATACTCCTCCCTGCCCGCCATGACGGTCCTGATCATGTCCATCACCATCGTCTTCTCTGGAGAGAAAACGGGATACATTACCAAAGAAATCTCGAAACTGGATTTTAAATACAAACTAAATTGTAATAGACTAGAACATACCCCTTCTCTAGGGACCCGTGAAGATCGGGTTAGGATTGATATTCAGTAACCCATGCTTGTCGTAAGAGGCGACTAAAGGGATCGGGTCGTCAGGCTCGCTGACACATGTCATCGTATCCCAGTAGATCGATGCTCATGCTGTTGATGACTGGACTGTCTGGTCAAGACTCGATTATATGCAGACCGCCGCCACATATGTGGAATATTGCTAAGAGCGGCGTAAAACTAAACACACACACATATGTCTATGGTGATGGACGAGTCTGGATCAGACAAACCATTGATTGGTGTTTTGTGGTGACATGCCAGCAGGTCATCAAGCCGTGATACATATTTTCTGCTGTACAGATGAGGATGTATAACAAATGTACTGCTTCACACTAGATGGGGATGTAGAACAACAGTACTCCTGCACACTAGATGGGGATGTAGAACAACAGTACTCCTGCACACTAGATGGGGATGTACAACAACACTCCTGCACACTAGATGGGGATGTAGAACAACAGTACTCCTGCACACTAGATGGGGATGTAGAACAACAGTACTCCTGCACACTAGATGGGGATGTACAACAACAGTACTCCTGCACACTAGATGGGGATGTAGAACAACAGTACTCCTGCACACTAGATGGGGATGTAGAACAACAGTACTCCTGCACACTAGATGGGGATGTACAACAACAGTACTCCTGCACACTAGATGGGGATGTAGAACAACAGTACTCCTGCACACTAGATGGGGATGTAGAACAACAGTACTGCACACTGAGGGGATGTACAAGCAACAGTACTCCCGCACATAGATATGGGGATGGCACACTAGATGGGGATGTGTGAACAACAGTAGCAACAGTACTCCTGCACACCAGATGGGGATGTAGAACAACAGTACTGCACACTAGATGGGGATGTCCTGCACACTAGATGGGGATGTAGAACAACAGTACTCCTGCACACTAGATGGGGATGTACAACAACAGTACTCCTGCACACCAGATGGGGATGTACAACAACAGTGCTGCTGTTCAGGTGAAGACTTAAAGCAGTGTAAAGGTTCACAGGTGAGGATGTCACTCAATAATACGGTAAAAACCCATACACTAGGGCCTACAATACAAGAGCACTCTTTAACTCTCAGTATATATCTAACCTCTGTCTCCCGCCGACACCAGCCACGACTGCACGGCATTGACATCCTCTGTCTGTAGGATCTGGCACAACATCGTCAACACCTGTAGGGGGAAGACAACAAACACTTAACAAAGGATAATAGAAAATCCATCGATATAACGATCTCATATTATCTAACCAAGCTTAGATTTTCATGAAACGTAAAACTGTGGCAAATAATTTGTTACCATTATGAAATCATCAAGGAAGTTGTAATCAAGGGGAGGTTTACTCACACAGCCTGTCGTCTCGTGCGATTCAATAACGAACAGGCTGACCGCAATTAACACATTCATATCATTTCTTATACGATTAAGCAGATCAGAATCTCACGAAAGTAATCGTGAAACAATTTATATTTTTAAAGTAACCCACTGATCAGGGTAATGGAATTAGCGGGGGTTTCCTTAAAGATTAACGACTCCCTGGAGATTTAAGCCCTCGGAATTCCCACCCTGTTTATCTTATTTCCTTCACGGAAAGCTGGGTTTCGTGCTTGTCGAGATTGGTCCCTAGTATTTGTTGTGTTAGACGGGCACAGATAACGTACATGCCAGCCTTAGGTGATGACAAACATGCGACTTCCTGGAGAATATCGATGAAGTTGAAGAAAAGGTACATTAACATCGGAAATTGTAACCATTAAAAAAACCCAACTAGGCGTTATGTTTATACCAGGACCAACAGTGTTATTCCTAAAAATTAGCGTTGTTATGGTTGACCCCTATACACTGACCGGAAATGGAATCGTGAATTGAAGAGGAATCGTCATATTTCGGGAGATAATGGACGGACTATTCTCAGTCGTTGACGTTTCTTAATAACACATTTCATTCAGGTAAACAAACATTTGCCATGAAAGTTAAGTTAAAAATGTTATCAACGTATTATTACGTTCTATTTATACTCGATGACTTAGCTTAAATGTTTGCAGTAGAAGTAGATTGGACAAAACAAAGCTCTTTAATGCATACATGCATATTTTCGTCTCTGTCGCACGGAAACCCCATGGCTGCACGTCGATTGTAAAATTTTTGAATTATTTGACATATTTTGTGTCATTATTTGTTTGTTTGTTGTTGGGTTTGCTGTGGTTATTCCAGCTGAAGACCCGGGTTCAATTTTCAACATGTGTACAATGTGTGGACCCCATTTCTGGTTTCCCCCGCCGTAATATTGGTGATATATTCTTAGAAGCGGCGTAAAACCGTACTCACTCACTCCGACTCAACTTCAGATAGGAGTATTCCTAGTGTCGAGATCCTGACTGAATGGTTGTGGAGATGTTGTCACGTAAATGACAGACCCGTGAAGATCCGGGTTAGAATTGCTCTTCAACCCATACTTGCCGTAAAAGACGACTAACGGGATCGGATGATGAGACTCGTTGACTCGGTTGACACATGTCATCGTATCAATTACGTGCATCGATGCTCATGATGTTGATCACTGAATTGTCTGGTCCAGACTTGATTATTTACAGACCGCCGCCATATAGCTGGAATGTTGTTAAGGCGTTAAACAACAAACCAATCAACCAACGTAAAGTAGCTTAAAAATGGCCATGGAGCTGTTCAGTTTCATTTAAAAAAAGGGGCGGTGGGGTAGCCTAGTGGTTAAAGCGTTGGCTCGTCACGCCGAAGACCCGGGTTCGATTCCCCACATGGGCACAATGTGTTAAGCCCATTTCTGGTGTCCCCTGCCGTGATATTGCTGGAATATTGCTAAAAGCGGCGTAAAACTAATCTCAGTCAGTCAGTCAGTCATTTCAAAAACAAAAAATACGGAAGGGTCCCTCTGGAATTTCTTTCTAAGTTGTGTAGGTCGTATAAATTACTCAGGATCCCTATCAAAGATTGAGTGGTATATAATACGCGTGTTTTCTTCACTACAGAATATAGTACATAATGTCGGGTTACTTGCTGATACGAATCGATATACAGCCGGCGTTATTTATGTGTCGTTGTGACATACTACTTATCTTAATGTAGATATTCGCCTTAACCTAATCGATCAGTGTTTGGAAGGTATAACTTGGTTCGAATAGCCAAGACTTGTTAAAAGAAACATGTCCTGTATGATGTCAATACCCCGGTGATTGAGGGTCGACTATATCTTCCACCGGGACATCACTGTTTAACGTTGCCGTGTGTCATAAGTGCTCACGTCGCCGCGATGACTCCTCACAAGACAGCTAAAGTACACAGAGCGAGGCCTATGTCAGAGAAAGGAGCTTAGGCTGCCAGAAAAATATCCAATCCTGTCATCGAAGGGTTAGGGAGCAGTTCACAAGTTCAATGTCGATTAAATCTTATTCCTGAAGTTTTAAACCACCCATCTAAACAAAACCAATTGTCAAAATGTTTGATATTAAAACAAAATCAGAAAGGAAAAAAAGAATCCTCGAAAAATAATAGCTGAGCATCACGAACAGGGTAAGTTTTGAATTTTTTACAGTTTGCTTGTGTTTTATTTAGTTGTACCCATGGTAGTGATAAAAGTTACGTTGAAGATCGGAGGGTGTTATTTGTTGACGTGAATACCCTGACATGTTTATTATGACGGATGAAAAAAGCCAAGTCATCTGAGGCGGCGCAGTTTCTTCTGCAGAGTTGCATCCCTTAGACGTACCAGAAATGATCATGGGTTCGAATCCCGGACTGTCCTGGTTATTTGTCTAGGTTTGCCAGCACCTAGTCTGTCGTACAGACCCTGAAGTAAATATATCCAAGAAAGCCCACGCAAGTCTAGAAAATGTGGCAAGTCAGGAAAATGAAGAAAGTCTCAGGGCTCCTTTTCATTACATAATATTTTGTACTATGAACTTTTTTTCAGTAAAATATGTTCATTTCAGAGACTAGTTGTTAGTCTAGCCAGCACCATACCGGTGTTCTAGGAGCTATAAACCTGCAGTAGTAAGCGGACACACCGTCATATAACTGGAATACTGTTCAAAGCGGCATTACTGATTGACTGAGTTTGATTTTACGCCGCTTTTAGCAATATTCCAGCAACATCACGGCGGGGGACACCAGAAATGGGCTTCACACATTTTACCCATGTGGGGATTCGACCCGGGTCTTCGGCGTGACGAGCCAACGCTTTAACCACTAGGCTACCCCACCGCCCCTCAAAGCGGCATTAAGTCCAGCACACTCACACACGTAAACGTAAAGAACTGATTTAGACATCTGACAACTTTTGAACCCCTCCCTTTCCCGATCAATATTTTTTACACCGATGAGTCGTAAATACGTTCATCTGAGTATCGAACGGTGTCGGATATTGTCATTTGAACGACTGCGTATTAAATCAGGATAAGTCCGCTCTCTCAGACGCCCCGGTGAATGTGCACATATCTCACACCGCTTGGCAACGATGTATAGACTGCAGTGTGCAAGCACCCGGACATCAATAAGCGTTACGCAGCACATACTTTTGAACACTGGGGTAATCTCTGCGTTATCGCTGTGGGACTTGCTGAAGGGTAACGTGGCATGGACCTCGTGGTGACCTCAGCACTAAGATTGTCAAGGTCTATGCTACAATATGGCAGTTAATATTGCCCTAGAACTGAGAGGGTATTTTGGTGACCGTCACACGGGTCACTGAGTAAATGTCTGTTCCAGATCATGTGCAGTCCGACATTTGTTCTAGATCATTGTAAGCCTGACACTGGTACCAGTTCATGCGATATCAGACACTTGTTTGAGATCATGAAGAGTTCATGCCATATTAAACACTGGTTCCAGTTCATGACAGGCCCGACACTGGTACCAGTTCATGTGATGTCAGACACTTTTTCCAGTTCATGCCATACTAGACACTGGTTCCAGATCTTGTGTAGTCCGACATTTGTTATAGGCCACGCAAAGTTTGACACTGGTTCCAGTTCATGCCATATTAGACACTGGTTCTAGATCATGAAAATTCCGACACTGGGACCAGTTCATGCCATATTATATACTGGTTCCAGATCATGCGAAATCAGAAACTGGTTCGAGATCATGAAAAGTTTGACACTGGTACCAGTTCAAGCGACATCAGAAACTTGTTCGAGACCATGAAAAGTCCAACACCGGTACCAGTTCGTGCGATATCAGACACTGGTACCAGTTCAGGTAATGTGAATGAGATTCTCATTGTAAAGTCTTGGCATATGCTCTCACCAAAAGAAATCCATTAACGATTGCCCTTCCCTTCAAACAGACATCGGTATACTTACCACATTCTCCATGTCGGGTTCAGCAGCTATGTGCTGCATGGTGGGGAAAACTGCGGCCTGCCCCTCCTTGACGCCCCCCGGGACATCATGCGTGAGGGGGGTGGGATGAGACGCCCGGTCTCCGCGGAGTATTGGGTGGTTCTCGGCCTCTTCGGGGTCTCTTTTTCTCTCCTCAGGCACGTTCAGCTGCTCCGTGAACTCCTTCAACTCATCCCTCCACGCCTCGGTCGTCGGAACTGCAGACACAAAACAGACACGGTTTATTTTCATTTTTGACGGCGCACTCAGCAATATACCAGCATATGATGGTGGGCTGTAAATAATCGATTCTGACAAACCAGAGTTTGATATTATGAGCAACGATCACGCCATTGGGGTACAAGGACACGAGTGAGTGACGTACTTTTAATTGTTTAAGCAGCTATTATGGATATTCCAGCAATTTTACGGCGGGGAACACCAGAAATGAGCTTCACACATTGTAACCATGTAGGAAATCGAACCCAGGACTTCGCTATAAAGAGGACACGAAGCCAACTACTAGTATGTACCCAAGCCCGACAAGCCGATTCATTAAGACACTTTTACGACCAACACAAGTTGCTGGGGACATTCCCTATGGTATGTAGTAGCAATGTACACATATCAGAGCTTTGGAAGACATGTTAACTTTACTGGTGACATCATATTTATATCTGAAAATTGTAGATAAATTGCTTTCCCGTACGTCTTTTGCCGTAATTTCTGAAAAACGTCAGGCGTTAGCCTCTTATGGAGGTATCGACCATTTACCATTACCATGGATATTGGAGAGGACTGAGAATAAGTGGGTACCCGGTGGGATGAAATGATGATGTAACTGTAAACACTTTGGCGCCTGATAAGGGCAGAACTGGCTGTACACTGCCTCAGAGCCATATTATTAATTATTAAAGCGTGATATATATATGATTCAATTATATTGACAAAACTGAACTAATGTTTGGGTTCGACTATCAAGCGGTGATGTGGTCCATTTCTAGGTGGTGGGATTCTTTGAAGACACCTCGGTCTCGAATATCAGTATGTTTGTGGTATACACCTGCGTCAGTTGCATGTATCTGCACGCACTATGTGATCCTTTTCACAGGTGTAAAACAGACGCTCAGGTGTCAAACACAGGTATACAATACAGGTACACTACTACCTCCAATTACTGCTTGGTGTTTACCTTACAAACTTCTATCTAAAAAGGGTGTCTCGGGTTCGATTCCCCTCGTGTTCAAAATGTGGAGAGTGTATCCTGATAAAAGTGGCGTAAAACTTACATGTGATTTTATTCGGGCTTATTGGTTAGATATAGTAAATGCTAGATACACTAGTAAATGGTAGATACACTAGCAAGCGTGGACCCCGCCGTGATATTGCTGGAATATTGCGAAAAGCGGCGTAAAACTAAACTCAATCACTCACTCACAAACTTGAAAACAGGACTTTGCCAACAAATTAAAAAAACGTTACCAGGCTAGAAACACTGCAAACTTGGGATCAACTGTGATACCCTTATTAAATACATTTCTCTGTCATTTTCTGCCACCCTCACATAAAAGTATATTCTGTATATTGCTTTGCAGTATGTATCTAATATTTCATACCATTTTTAGTATGAAGATTATGGTTTTGTCAATTATTGTTTGAAAGAATGTTTACTTATAAAGCCTTATGTAAGCTTTGTAAACTACGATTTCCATTATTGGTACAGTGCCACATTAGCCGAATGAGTATGGTGTTAGGCTGTTTGGGGTAAAAATCCAATAACATCACGGCGTGTTTCACAGAGAGAGAGAGAGAGAGAGAGAGAGAGAGAGAGAGAGAGAGAGAGAGAGAGAGAGAGAGAGAGAGAGAGAGAGAGAGAGAGAGAGAGAGAGAGAGAGAGAGAGAGAGAGAGAGAGAGAGAGAGAGAGAGAGAGAGAGAGAGAGAGAGAGAGAGAGAGAGAGAGAGTTTATTAATGTGTCACGCATATAACTCAGCATTTTGTTACAATATAAAAGCCCAGTATAAGAGTAAATGCCCAGCCAAATTGGCTTATGAGACACATAGACCAGTTTTAAAACATAGTAGTACCATAAAATATATATATAAGATATAGAACATAAAATGCATGTTATAAAACGTTTAAGAAAGGATTAAATCATACATTAAGCGTCCGTATTGTACCTACGTCGGGAATCAAACCCAAGCCTTGACTTGCTAACGCTTTAACCATTAGGTAACCCATTCGCCCATCAATATCCCAGGTGTCTGAGGCGCCGCAATTAGCTTGGCAGAGTGGCTTCCCTGGGCAAGCTAACGCGCCATGTGTGGGGGTCAGAGGCTCGGTTAATCCTGATTATGTTTGTCAGCTTCACGCCCGTGCTCAGGGTTTCACCAAAGTCGTAACTGTTCAAAGCGGTGATACAAAAACAAAGTCACTCACTAACAAAGTACGAATGACCGAGTTACGAATCATAGTTCGCTTCTAACATGACATTTAAGGGACCGTTCATAATGTATGGCTAGGGGTGGGGGTGACGATGATTTTAAAATTTTGGGGGTTCACCCATATTGTTCTGGGGAGGCAGAGGGGTGCACAATTTTGTACATAACAATTAGGGGGAAGGGAATTGGGGTCATTGATTTTGTACATATGCATGCAAGGGCGGGAAGGGAAGAGGGGGGTGTAATTGATTTTGTACATAGATTTTACGGGGGGTCATTCACTTTGTACATGCATCATCATCATCCCCCTAGCCATTAATTATGAACGGTACCTAAGCATCATGTTGGAGAAAATCCCAATATGAGGTACGCCATGGACATTTATCACTACATGTATACACCCACGACGCTGAAAATACATCGAACCTTTGTTATTAGAGGTAATACGGTAGCAATTACATAGTTTATCCCTATCAAACCAGCGTTACCAGACCATAGCCTAGACCTGTGTATACACTCAGACACATGATGATCCGTGGTACAAAGGTTTCGTTGACCCATGCTGGCCCGCCTGTTTACGTAGAGGGAAAACCTACTTGAGCTGGTATCGATGACACTGTGGGGCTGACTTGTAAGGGAACAGTATAGGCCATGTATACAGGTTCATTCGAGTTTATCATGATTTGAAGGCTATAATATAGAACGACTCTAATGTTTCCTTATTGAAGTACATAGGGATATGTTGTATGGGAAACAGTAACTGAAATTGATATGTTTCGTGTTTCCTAAGTTGTATTATGGTTTCTCCTTGATATGAATTATCGATGTTATAATATGATTTACGGAGCAGAACACAAACATGAGAGCTGGATCCTGCTTTTAAAACAGTCTGAGTTTGGAAGGGAGTGGGTGGGCACTGCTTTCGGTTACAATGGAATCTAGTGTTGGGAATTGGTTGAAATCTCACAATTGATGATTGCTTTTTTACCAACGAGAAATCATCGAAAGAAATTGGTGATCGTCATTTCTCAGATTTTTCTATTCAGGTTGTTATTGCAGATATGTATAACATGATGCAACTTGCTACTTTAAAGTGATGACTAATATATCATGAACATAAACTACTCAGAGTCTTCAACTATTATTAAGTCATGACTTTTCAGTTATTGAAGTGAGTTTTCTAAGAACTAAACACATTTTCAGGCCCTGACAACTTCGAATATATGTTCCATCGACAAGAGTTTCAAAGACTAAAACAGTAGATCCAAAATCGTTTGTGTTCGATTATGAGAAAATGTGATCGATTGCTTGGTCGTTTGGTCACTGCGACCAATCTTCGATTATTTCAATTAATCGGAACACCACTAATGGAATCCCCTTTCATCCGCCATTGAGAATGGGCTTGATCAGTGAGTGAGTATGGTTTTACGCCGCTTTTAGCAATATTCCAGCAATATCACCGAGGGAAACACCAGAAATGGGCTTCACACATTGTACCCATGGGGTAATCGAATCTCGGCCTTCGGACTGACGAGCGAACGCTTCAACCACTAGGCTACCCCACCTTCCCTGGACTTGTAGACCGATATGTGGAATCGAACGCTTCAACACTAGGCTACCCCACCTTTGGACTTGTAGACCGATATGTGGAATCGAACACACGGTTTTGGACTGACTAGCGAACGCTTACGCTCCAAAGACGCCACCACAAGTACATACAGTCAAACATCGCTCTGTTGAAGATGAAGTGACCAACGTAAATACTTCGAGTTATCCAAGGTTCGACACACACTAAATCAGTGAGTGAGCTAAGTCTTACGCCGCACTCAGCAATATTCCAGCGGCGACCTGTAAATAATCGAGTCTGGACCAGATAATCCAGTCATCAACAGCATGAGCATCGCAATCTACGCAATACGATGACGTGTCAACCAAGTCTGCGAGACTGTCAACCCGATCCCGTTTGTCGCCTCTTACGACATGGGTTACTGAAGACCAGTTCTAAGCCGAATCTTCACGGGTCACTAAATTAGGGACACAGGAGCCAAGTTATCACATCGAAACAACCCTAAGTTCGACTCAACAGTGTTTGACTGGAGTTCAGATTCTAATTTAGGACCTTGCAGGGTTCTCTACATTCTCTACAGCATCCAAATTGCCTTGGCATCACATTTAGACACGGTTGAAGGCCAGGTCGCGATAAGCGACGTCACGCACGGTGAAATATTTTAAAATTTTAAAATATTTGTAATTACTCAATCAGTAAATGCTTTGATGCTTCATTCAATATCTAGTTAATCGGAAAACGTTTCCGATGTCAATATATAGATTTCATAACAAAGGATCACATTTACGTAAGTTGTAAATCGATTATTGCAACTTGAAAAAAGCAATGTAACCGCGTCGCTAGATGCCGTATTTCCTCACTTAGAGGTCCTGACATCTATTCATTTTGCGCAAGCCTTACACACGATAACTGTCAAAGGCACGGCCTCTGTTCTGGCCCACTGGATACCTACTACCGTAAAGATACCCATTGGCATTAAACACCAGAATGTAACTGAATAAATGCAACATGAGCACTACGGTAATCACAAACTGAGATAACTGCATCAAGTATACACGAGAATAATTATTTAATTATATAATTATGAATGATTATACACACTAAAACAAGCGAATATATGCACGAAGAGCGAACATATGTACAGCCCAATCCGCCAGCTATCTCTTGCACGCTTTTGAGGTCGCTTTTTGGGTATGAATAATTCAGGGATATCCCGTAGTCTCCAGCCTATTTACGGATCTGTCAAATAATTTGTAGTCATTTTCTTTTCTTATTGATTTTCTTCAACACTAAACGCAATTGTTAGAATTAAATTGTGTTTTGTGAAGATCTTGCATGTCAACAGTCGAGTAGTTTGCAAACATCAAAGGAAAAGCGTTTATCAATGCGATGTAGTATTCAACAATAGTATTTTTATTCGGCGCACATGTATATTTAATGAAAAGGCGAAGCGAAATAACAGAGACTGTATGGTCTTATGGTTTGGTGCAGTCTAAACCAATTACGCCTCAATGGGAATTTTTGTTCATTGAAACCCCGTTTCAGCGCGTACATACTTAACGTCCTCATCAAAATGCAATCCAACACTGTTGTGTCGAAGTTAAAGGGTACAACGTCAATGCTTCGAGTTATCCGAGTTTATCGACACAACCGCAAAATGATGTCGAAGGAATACGCAAGGACCAAGTTTTTACTTCGAGACAAGCGTACGTTCGACACAACAGTGATGTAGCCAGGCAGATTGCTTATCAGGGTAAGACTACAGAATACCGGATACCTTCCGCCATCTTTGAAAGCATACGAGTTTACTTAGGGTTAGGGTAAGGTGTAGGGTTAGGGTTAGGGTTTAGGGTTAGGTAAGGTTTAGGGTTAGGGTTAGGGATAGGGTGACGTGACACTAAACAATATGGCTGGTAGGTATCCGGTATTCTGTAGGTGAACCCTTATCAGCTTAATGTTGATTTAATAATATAGGCTTGTTTAACGGAAAACTCAAGAGTCCATTCTCATTTGCTAACAGCACATCGTCGTTAAATAAGGAATAAATATCTATCCACTTCATGTATAAACAACCCGTTTCTTCTTTTTCTTTCCAAAAACACCCCGCATATTGTTAATGTGTCACGAGTTGCAGATCGGTGTGAAAAGGTCAACCTTTATAAGCTAAAAAATGTAAAAAAAACACAATAAAAAATAAAGAATATCCCCAACTCACTGTGGACCAAGAGTCATAAAAACACATCTTAGAAAATGTAAAGAAGTCTTTCGGCGTAAGAATATCGAATATATATGGAATCCGAGTAGGGACATTGTCGCATTGTCGCGCTTTGGTTAATTTTGCCTCCTTTTGCTTGTATTTGAGAGGGCGACAACGCGACAATGTCCCTTCCAGGATTAGATAGATATATGAACGCGAGGTGTTTATGAAAAGCGTCACTACTCACATGAAACTGGTTAACCGCCGACAGCTTTCGAAAGGAGCATTCACGGTTGATGAGTGTTTATCGCCTCCTACTATGTGTTAACTCGATTATATACCCGCCTTGTTGTACTCTCTGTCTATACACCAGCACTCCATAAAATACAACCTCTCCGTCACCCGACGCTTATCATGTTGCTCGGTATTATGCCCAGATTGTCAGCGTATATGGCCTCTCTGTACACCTCCCCGACCATTCACCGACGTGTCAGCGAGGCAGGGAGAATAGCCAACACATCGCATACATTAGGATTCACTGCAAGCAAATACACCAGTCAGCCATTAATAACACGAAGGTCGAAACACGACAGCCGCGTTTGAACAGGGTCGACATGTCGCTCCGCTGATTAAACCTGTATACCATGGTTCCAAAAGAGTACTTCCAAGTAGTTTATGGGGCCTTTCACAATCAATATATTTTATCTGCGTGAAGAGGAACTATTCATAAATAGTGAACTGTCTTTGTGTCTGAGAGTGTGTTGCAAGCAGTGACGGCAAGACGTTAACGCTGTACCGTTAACACGTCAATGATCAATAAAGCCGGGTCTTGGTTATGGTTGATTGTAAAACAAAATCTAACCTGTGCTTAGTGAGTTGAAGGTCACTGACTATATTCTGGAGCTATATTTCCAGTCGTATATCAATTGGTGTTACTGACAACCCTTATTAGCGTTCGGGTAATTTGTCTTCGGTCAACGTTGTACCGTTAAAACGTCAAAGATCAGTGAAGACGGGGATTGGTTATGGTTGATTGTAAAACAATATCCAAACTGTGCTTGAATTGAAGGTCACTGACTATATTCTGGAACTATATTTCCAGTCGTATATCAATTTGTGTTACTGACAATCTTCATTGGCGTTCGGGCAATGTGTCTTCGGCCAAGGCTGTACCGTTAACATGTCAGTGCTCAGCAAAGACGGGGATCGGTTACGGTTGTGCGTTGTGGCGATGCCTTTTTAATTCTTGTAAGAAATCTCATCAAAATCAACATTTTCAGGTAAAGTCGATTTTTCAGTTGTGCAATAGTGTAAAATCATGTTATCATCACTTTTGTTACATATTTTAACGATTGTTTGAACACAACTGGTAAATAATAGATTTTAAAAATACAAAACGCCTATGCGTTTCTTTTTGGGGATAGTATATGTTGAAATGTTTACAATTATTAACAAACCCATCTAAAGATATTATTGCAAAATTATGGAAATACATTAAGTTATGCATGTAAGTAAAAATGCATTGTCCAGCTTCCTTTTGTATATGTATAATTTATGTACATGTATATTTCAATGGATAACATACAGCATTCTACCCTGTATACAGTGTAAAATGATGACGAGGGGCATATAAGCCCAAGTCTTTACTGAATAAAGAATCTGAATCTGACTTATCCAAGTTCGGTCTTAAGGTCTAACGTAGTGCATTTAATCAGATTCAATTTAAACTCACAAACATTACATATATACGGTTGACTACCCACACCTCTACAATGAATACAGGTGTATAACAGTCAACATTGTCCCCATAAAAGTCTATATAAGCAATGTCTCCTTTGTGAGATAGCAAAATTAGCATAATTTGAAATATATACGTTGGCATATTACATCCATAAAAATATTTATCCACAATATTTTACACAGAGTGACTCATATTAGCCACAAAACATAACTACAAGTCCTGATTCTTGATTTGACAAAGTGAGTTGTCTCCCCTTCCATAGTTGTCCTAACCAGCTTCAGTTTCATGTCTACACTGCTCTATAATGATGTTCTACACCGTGATTATTAAGTTATGATCCTATTTATAATTGGATATACAGGTCACAATATGTCATATTTTGGTCTGTAGTTTGGTTTGATAAGCCGGAAATCCATTTTGAGAGTTACGTCCCCTGGTTCGATAATATTAACCTTAACCTTGCAGCACCATTACCGTGCAATGATATCGACCAACACAATCTCTTATAACGTTAAGCTGACACGCCATATTTGACTGAAAAACTGTTCAACGCGAAGTAAAAACGGAACTCAATGGTTATTTCTACCCAACCATTCACTGTCCGCTGAACAACATTCCTAGTGCAAGAAGGACGATGAATTAGCCCCGGAGGAATTATCTTATATATCGATTAGGCTTTCCGCTGCCAGACTTAAGGATGCTGACCTTAGTTGTTTTACAACAGACTGGATTAAATATTGAGTGACCTTTAATCCCCTAAACGCTGGCATTTATTGAGTAATGCCGCACACGTTGCGTTTGGAAGAACTAATGTTTGAAATGTAGATCGATTCCACATTGGGATATGTGTATCCGAGACATACATCTGTGCTTCATGAGAATGTTGGTTCATCGATCAATGTTGATTACTCAACACAGCGCGTCTGTCTGGTGTATGACAAGTGAAATACTTATAATCTGCGCCTTGGATCGATATGTCGTCAATAACCGTATCAATCAACGGGCTGAATCCACTGATGTAAGATTCATTCAGTGAGTGAGTGAGTGAGTTTTACGCCGCTTTTAGCAACATTCCAGCAGTATCACGACGGGAAGAAACCAGAATTGGGCTTCACACATTGTACCCAGGTGGGGAATCCAGCCCAGCTCTTCGGCGTGAGGGGCGAACGCGTAACCACTAGGCTACCCAACCACCCCAAGAATCATTCAGAGAAAATGTGGTCATGTTTGGGTCACTGTTTACGACCATCGTTAGAATGGACATGGATTATGACATAAAAACACATCTCAACCACCTGCGTAACGCTACAAAGGTGTGTTAAGATTTGTCCCCGTAAAACGTTTTGAAAATTTTCCACCAAGTGATCTAAGTGCTACTGGGGATCGTAAGTTGGTTGGTTGATTGGTTGGTTGTTTAACGCCGCAATATTCCAGCTACAATGTATATGACGGCGAACTATAAATATTCGAGTCTGGACCAGACAATCCAGTGGTCAACATCATGAGCATCGATCTATGCAGTTGGGATACGATGATATGTCTCAACCACCAGATCCCGTAAGTCGCCTCTTTCGAAAAGCATGGGTTGTAAAAGAAATCATGTAATGTGTGTATGCATTTTTCTTTGTTGTTCAGGATTCAAGACATATCGTCGAATTTGAACCAAACAACCCAGTGATTGATGTTATTAACAACATTGGACACCATGACGCGCACCCTCCACCAAACCACCCACCCACCCCCACCCTGGATCCCCTAAATACCGTATACTTTCTTTTGCCTTGAGTATATATACTTTGACCTGAGCACAGTGACAGTTTAAAGCACATGAAAAGGAAAACAAAAATATAGCAATTCACAAGGATTTATAACACCGCAGATCTACATTTTGAAGATATTGAGAGTTACCTACCCATTCCAACCTTGGGAATGGCCTTCTCCCTGAAGGGGAAGCTGTTTAGTCCGGTGAAGTACTGCAGCCCGGTAATTGTATTGATCGGGTACAGCTGCGAATTGACGTTGATGGCGTTGACGGGAATCCGGCCACGAACGCTGTTTGATAGCTTATTTATGTTGTAGCTATTCGGAGGAAACTGGAGGCTGTAGCGGGGTGAAGCGAAGTAGCCATCGTCGTTGACGGAGCAGATTGGGATGTCAAGGAGACCTGTAATAGAAAGGTCAGTGTTTGGAATATAGTCCCGAAGCTGCAGGGAACAAAAGATGACGATTTACGATATCCTGTTGATATAATATAGGACAGGGCGTAAGGGCCCTTGATGGCTCACAGGATATGCATAATTTAAGAATTCGGCAAAACTGTTTGAAATTGTCATGAAGTTTATCAGACATGTTCTAATGAATGAGAACTAGACTTGGTTCATTTAACAGTTGCTCGCTTGGACTGACTGACTGACTGAGTTTGGTTTTACGCCGCTTTTAGCAATATTCCAGCAACATCACGGCGGGGGGACACCAGAAATGGGCTTCACACATTGTACCCATGTGGGGATTCGAACCCGGGTCTTCGGCGTGACGAGCCAACGCTTTAACCATTAGGCTACCCCACCGCCCCTGCTCGCTTGGAACTCATAAGAATACTAAATGCACAGGTAAAGGTACAATATGTCAAAAAAGGCCGATTGCAAAGGTTTTCTGGAAGCGTATTTCCATGAAGTGAACATAAACAAGTTGTTGATCCCTGCTGATCTTCATGAACATATAGTAACATATACTTCAAACAGCGTAAGCATGTGGCAAATGTGTGACGTGACGATACCTTTGAGGTGTCTGACTCGGTTGGGATGAGGATTGTGTCGGGTGAAGAACGAATTGTGACTCATCTGGCCGAACCGGTATCCACTGTGGGTCGCTGGTCGCGGGAGCGACGTCTTCCGGTATGCATTGGCGGACACCGGAACTCCGTTAGCTACCGGATCTCGGACATACAGGTCCCCATTGGCTGGGCGGAACACATCGGACTGACTCATGCTGGAGAGAAAGAGAAGAGATTAAGTATCTAATAGCACGAAGTTGACACTCGGTATTTACAGTCGACAGGAAAAGCAAGGTTAACAATACACGAAAATTAATAAAACTGGGCAATTAATTTTGTTTTAGATCACGATTGGTGATAAAGAAACACTAAATCCCTGAAAGACACATTTTTTCAAATCAGGTTAAATTCTGGTTGATTTATTATACACTCGTATCGGATGAACTATGTCGGTCCTAGGTGGGATATACCCGTGAAGATCCGGGTTAGAATTGGTCTTCATCAACCTATTCTTGTCGTAAAAGATCACTAACGGGGTCAGGGGTCGCTGACTCGGTTGACACATATTGCGTAGATCTCGATTGTGTAGATCGATGCTCATGTTGTTAATCACTGGAATGGCTGGTCCAGACTTGATTATTTACAGACAGCCGCCATATAGCTGGAATATTGCTGAGTGCGGCGTTAAACACCAACCTAGGTGGGCTGAACCACTGACACAGTCCTTTGAGAGCCGCACTGGATACGACCAAAATCTCTTTATTTGTTTCCACTATGCCAAAGTTCGTACAACAGAAACGCCGTTATGTATACTGGTTAACACCTGCCACAACGTGTTATGGCAACGGATGAATGTTGATCCCCCACTTCCTTAAAACAATACGGGTAGATATATTACCACTTGACTAGAAAGCAACACCGATCCCCTGTAAGCCACCTTCTCCAACGCAGAGATACAGTACTATCTCTATTTCTGAGGGGGTCATTCGATAACTCCGCTAACTTTAGACCTCATCTTTTAACATTCGACATCGCGGTCACAAGTATTTGTAAACTTTACGTGGAGTCTGTGTACGTATTTATCCGCTGTGTAAATAGTGTGTTGTATAGGGTTGGTACTTATCAAATCTGCAATCTCTTGTACAAATACAGGGGTAGAGGTGGCAGGTATAACGTGATAGGAACAGGGCTACCTCTTGAGAGATCTGGTTTATAAATGGACGGGGATCAATCCAGTTCTGTCTTCCAGCACCAACAAACAGCTGAACAGAGTTAATCCATGTTCATCTATTACCGACACTCTGTCATCAGCTACTTATTGTTGGGACTTTGAATTCAAAAGAGTTATGCAGACATTTCGATTTAGTTGTGATACGTATAACTATGGAATCCTTGAAGGGAAATTATCGCGTTGTCGACCTTACGAAGACAAACAATATGTGTCAAAACTGACCAAAGCGCGACAGTGCGACAACGCGATATTACCATTTGTTGATTTGTTGATTTGTTGATTTGTTGATTAGTCTCTTCGGTCAATTTTGACACTTTCTTGCTTTTGTAATTGCGACAACGTCATGATGTCTCTTCTAGGATTCCATATATAACAGAAATATTCTGAGCAGTGTTCTGATAGAATCGGGACATCACTTCCGAAATGAAACCTTAGTGGAGAGGGGTCAGAGTATGTATCACAGTGACAAACTTGGATTTATCAATATTCCACTAATATGATAGTGGGGGCCCCAAGAAAGTGTCTTGAAATTATACCAATAAGGGGTTTGAACCCGAGACGTGCGAATGCTTTAGCCACTAGGTTGACACACCACCCTCGTATTTATCATGGACGGATGGAGAATGTCATGACTGGCATACAACAATCAATACAACATGTAAAGGCTATGTTTTTTTGCCCTGAGACTGTAATGAATAAAACATGAATTGTTAACGCACTTGAGATCCATTTCATTTTGAAATCGGAAGCTAGTTCTCCTTAACCACGGTGTTTTGATGTCAAACATTAACCAGTACTGAATATTTACAGAATAACTCTGTACTCTGTAGTATCATGATATTGTTGAGTCATCGTGGATTTGTCATGTATTGATCCTGTGAGTGAAGGTTATAAGTAGCAAACAGCTGGGTTAGACTGGATGATTGAAGTACTGGCGGTGAGCTGGCTGGATATGCGTAAAAGGTTGCGTACACGTGCACCAACGGTCAACATTTAATCTTGAACACATAATGAGCATAGAACCGCACTTATAAATAGAGTTGGATGGATATATTTACAGTACACTTACGCTTGCTATTAATTTTCTATATGCGATTAAATAAACAAGATACCCAGTTCCTTTCCTGACTTTGATTTGCCACTTCACCACACCACTTCAACGCTTTAGAAATAACAGCAAGCAATACTCACGAAATCTAGTTTTATCTTCAACAAAGTGTGATATTATCCCGACGTAAAGTACAAATATTTTCTCACTCGTCAATATGTTACCCTGTATGGAAACACCCACACCATAATTAATTAGGGAATTAAAGGTGTTGTTTACACCGACTCTGTGTATATACAACAAACCATGTTTCGGGCCTTCAGCCATGTACACAGTTGTTTACGTCCCTAATATCTGATTTATTAACAATTACCGTGAGACATATGATTCATGCCGTGCAATCATTAGTATTTAAGCGAGTCGATAAATCTGACATACATTCATAGCCAATCGTAGATATTGACCAATCCACTCGAATTTGACAGCTAGGACTGTCTACTCTGACGTCCGCGAGAAATGAAGTGATTTGATTGGTTGAATGGTTTTGAGTCCTCCAGATAGTGTGATAATTGAGTATGTGTTTATATTATGATAAGCCGTGACAAGCTCTGTTACGGGAACGTGACCGGTGTCGGACCCGCTTCAATATTAGATAGGCTATCAGGTGCTCTTAAATATGCTCCATAAATCACTTTAATTACACAACTGTCGAGTTTCGAAGTGGCCTTGTTCTAAACATATTAGCACTTTATCCAAATCAACTTCAGGGGAAATTCCGAAAAGATAATTTAAAGCAAAGAGTTGTTGAATGTAATTGTATTTAATCCATATGGTCAGGGACCTAAGTTACGGTGGTATGTTTCTGACTAGGAGTAAAGTGTCGTAGTTATAACTATTGGCCCTTTATGCCCGAAAACTTCAGATGAAATTCCGAAACATATTTTAAACCAAATGTTGTTGAAAATAGCAATATGTGCTTTTAATGGATTGGAACCTTCCTAACGGCTCTACGTTTATGATTATGACTACAAAGGGACCTTGTTAATCCGAAAAATCTGCTGTCAGGGCGGTTCTCTGAGAAACGACTACTTTCACAGAAACGGCGTTACTCCTTGTTGCCTATTCGTTTGTCCAGAAACATATTAATCCGGTAAGTGGTACGTAATCCGATAGATTTCGCTAAGTATATTAAAATGCTGAATTGCGTTTTGCTCTAACAGTCTTATAATTATATATTCTTCACACGACGTGAGGCGCTAGTAGGATCATTTGCAAGGTTGTGTTTGTGCGTATGTTCAAGGTGGACATAAAGCTGTAACTATACCCCTGTATCATGTGAGGATTAGATTCTACGACCAGGTGCTCGTTCCACAAAACGATCGTAGCTCTGAGGTTACCGTAACTACCATACTTAAACATAGGCTAATGGTAATCGTACCACTATGATCGCCTTGCAGAACCCAGTTAGCTAGGGGTATATGCAGGGTTGATTCTGATTGTCATCCTTTTGTCAATGAGAGAAGTTGGTACAGATACTGATTCCATTTCAAGTAACTGGCTGTTAAAGAGCATGGTTATACACGCCATGCCGACCCGTGAAGATACGGGTCTGAATTGATGGTCTGAAACCTATGTTTGTAGTAAGAGGCAACTAACTGAATCGGGTAGTTAGACTCGCCGACCTGGCTTAGCCCAGCTGTGTAGATCGAAGCTCATGATGTCAGTCACTGGTCTGGTCCAGAATCGGGTATTTACATACCGCCGTCATATACGTGGAATATTGGCGGTCTGTAAATAATCGAGTCTGGGCCACACAATCCAGTGATCAACAGCATGAGCATCGATCTGCGCAAATGGGAAGATACGTGTCAACCAAGTCAACCGAAGTGTGAGCGATACTCGTGATTAGTTATATTAACCTAAGGATATTCAACCACATTTTGAGCCAAATTGTGGGTCATTATGACATGCACAAGTGGGAACTTTGTTTCGCAACAGAAGCAGTATTTGATATGCTACCCTTTTCATAAAACATACGCAAAGCTTTAAATCCAATATACCTGTGGACATCTATTTAACGACACTAGCCTACACACTACATGTCTTTAAATCCAATATATCTATTTAACGACACTGGCCTATACATTACATGTCTTTAAATCCAGTATACAAGTGGACATCTATTTAACGACACTGGCCCATACACTACATGTCTTTAAATCCAATATACCAGTGGACATCTATTTAACGACACTGGCCTATACACTACATGTCTTTAAATCCAATATATCTGTGGACATCTATTTAACGACACTAGCCTACACACTACATGTCTTTAAATCCAATATATCTGTGGACATCTATTTAACGACACTGGCCTATACACTGCATGCCTTTAAATCCAATATATCTGTGGACATCTATTTAACGACACTCGCCTATACATTACATGTCTTTAAATCCAATATACCAGTGGACATCTATTTAACGACACTGGCCTATACACTACATGTCTTTAAATCCAATATACCAGTGGACATCTATTTAACGACACCAGCCTACTCACTACATGTCGTTAAATCCAATATATCTGTGAACATCTATTTAACGACACTGGCCTACACACAACATGTCTTTAAATCCAATATACCAGTGGACATCTATTTAACGACACTCGCCTACACACTACATGTCTTTAAATCCAATATACCAGTGGACATCTATTTAACGACACTGGCCTATACACTACGTCTTTAAATCCAATATACCAGTGGACATCTATTTAACGACACTGGCCTACACACTACATGTCTTTAAATCCAATATATCTGTGAACATCTATTTAACGACACTGGCCTACACACTACATGTCTTCAAATCCAATATATCTGTGAACATCTATTTAACGACGATGGCCTACACATTACATGTCTTTA